TGATTACAAAGACAGCTGGAAATTCAATGGTCAACAGATAGCAACTCGGAGACATTTAACTTTCAGGAATCAAGTGCTAGAAACGTATTGTAGAACATCAAAAATAATTTAATAGTTCAAACTGACTTCTCTCACAACAATCACTGTATACTGGTCAGCTAACTTGTGATACAACAAGTTATATACTGAATCATTTTTGTAAAATAAATAATGAGAAAAAAGAAACAAAACATACTATAACTATAAGAACTTACTCTCATCCAAAACCTCAAATTCAGGATCTCCTAAGCCTGGTATATAAAATAAAATGTTTCCGAAGTTTTTTTCTGTGTATATTATATCTATTTCACCTGTATATTAGTTAATGAAAACATGCAACTTAATTGATCATTTATACATTGAAAAAGGTTTTGAAATAAATGAAAGACTTAAATGAGTTGCATGAATTGTATTTATATTGTTGTAAGATATTATTTCGTGAAGGCGCGGATCGGTAAAGCAAGAGCAGCATATTTACAACTGAAGAACATCTGGAACTCAAAACAACTGTCTGTCAACCAACATCAAAGTCAGGATTTTCAATACAAATGTCAAGACAGTTCTACTGTATGGGGCAAAAACTTGGAATACTACAAAAGCCATCATCAGAAGATACAGGTCTTTATTAAGTGGTCTACGCAAAATACATCGGATCCGTTGACCAGACACTATCAGCAACAACCTTCTATGAGGGAGAACAAACCAGATTCCAATGGAGGAAGAAATCAGAAAGAGGAACTGGAAGTAGATAGGTCACACATTGAGGAGAGCAACCTCACATGGAATCCTCAAGGCCAAAGGAAAAGAGGAAGACCAAAGAACACATTACGTCGAGCATTGGAGGCAGATATGAGAAAAATGAACAAGAATTGGATAGATCTGGAAAGGAAGGCCCAGAACAGAGTAGGATGGAGAATGCTGGCGGGTAGCCTATGCTCTATTGCGAGTAACAGGCGTAATTAAGTAATTTGTCTTAAAATATACTAGTCAGGTGGCAATGTGTTACAAATTCATTAGTGTTTATGAAGACGGTTACAAGACAAAGCGTGGAAAGTGAATACCATTTGAAAATATCCACAAATAAACAAATGTCTATCGACTTTACTCCAATTCCGTTAAATGATGAAGTTAACGAAATATCCATTCCATCTACCGTCTTATCGACTTAATTCCTGTTAGAGAATAACAAAATTAATCAAATACGAAAATGAATTTTAGATATGTATATTCCATATACTCTTCACCTTAGACAGACAATAAAAGAAACGAGGCGAAGAAGCAGATAGGAGAATGCAAACATTCCAACTCTCCTTGACTCAATATTTATAACCATATAGAGCTGATGTTAGAGCTACACATAAAGTGGACAAAAGTATACCTCCTTGACGAGTTCATTAGATTTAAGAGTGACTATTGATTTTTTCAAAAATACAGAATTCATAATAAAGTAATGAATAGCTTGCATTTTATTGAGTTAAGGAAGAAATAATTAAATTCTATCACAACTAGGTTAGAAAAACATTTGATTGTTTATAAAAATGGCGAAATAAAAGAATAGAGATGATATTGAGTACCTCTTAAAATGACGGCAAGAAAATGATTAAGTTCCAATACAGAAACTAATAGAAATTGATAGAATAAAAATCTATAGGAAACATTGATATGATTCATAACTTTTTATTATATCCCGATGAGAATAATGAATGGTAACTGTTGGGAACTATTTCTGTACTAATACTATACATATATTTTTATCGTGTAATTGTTAAATAGCTAAGCTATTCATATTCATGTCCCTCTTATTATGAGCTTTGTTTTGATCTATGAACTGTTATTATATGATTTATCATTCTTGAGTTATGCCTGGTCCATCAATTACTATCTCCCCCATTCACAGCCACATTTGGCTAATTCTTGTACAAATGTTGTTTCCTATTTTATTGGTATGATGTGGTCTGTCTGGTTGGTATATAAATCTAGTATGTTTGAAATACATGATTCATATCACAGAGGCTGAGATTGGTGTTCTGGACTTAACAGGTAGAGCTAGGCGGGAGGCAGGATCGTTAAAGACTATAGACTGCTTGTACTTGTTTCATACATCATTAGTCCTTTCGATAATTCACTGTTCTCTAATTGGTGTTATCATTACATTATACATTGATAGGGGCACAAACCCATAAGTTATAACACTTTTAAAGGTCGTTTAAAAGATTTTGATATTTTCAAAATAATAGAATTAACTACATAAATATATATCTTTATGTCTATAAAAGAATCCCTTCATTCTAATCCTCATTACTAGTATTGTCTCTTATCCTTAATCCTAAACTAGATTCAGATTACTAATCTTAGCTTCGAATCTTAGATATACGGCCCAATCATGAAATTTTAGCCTTTGCTATTAATCCTTCTCTTAACCTATCTATGATTTGTAACATGATAAGTTTTTGATTTATATAGCCTGTAATCTGTGTAAAAATTGAACTCTACTTTCACAGGATTTACATAATGAGATAAGAGGAACGTTATCAAAAGAATTTCACATATTCACGCAATACACTTTGAACAGACTGGTGATTTACATACTTGTTAAGATATTACGTCTAAGAAATCAAATGTCAAATAAATAAATTACAAAGATAATAATGTTTTAATTTATTTTGTTTCAATATTGTCTTAAGTCACAAGCATTATAAGCAAAGATGGATGATGGCTGTTAGTGGAATCCAGGATACGCGTTTCGCCCTATCCGGGACTCGTCAGTAAGATGCACCTCTATCTCAGAGTTGATGGTCACTCCAGGACTCGAATATAGTACCATTTGCTTCAAACTTCTCGTTATCCACCTAGCTACTGAGTCCTGATAGCTACTAGCTTGTGCAATAAATTAAAATGCAATATTATTGATCGGAAGCATAATGGTATGTCCTACTTAAGAATGAACATATAATGCCTAACTAACAATCCAAATAGTTGCTACATCGCATAATACATAAAAAAATTAATAAAATAATTTAATGAAAAGTCAATAATACAATAGTTATGTAACAATCAAGAGACCGATTTTGCGAATATGAAAAAAATACAAAGGTGAAAGAAATAAAAAAGTTATTTGAACATTTATGAAAGAAAGGGTTTGATCAAAGGTCAGCTAAAACTCATTCCTATACCAATGGCCAAGATAGCGAGAGTGATTGTCAGAACTTCTTATGGACTCAAAGGTTAGGTTTTATGAACATAGATTCCGTTAGCTTCAAGAAGATCCACAAGACAAACTAGCAAACTATATGGTAAATTTGTTGGAATATAACTGATAAACTTAAAAGCTATATTTAAGTCAACTTGATTTCCTTTGTCTATCAAGTGAGTGAGAATGAAACTCTTAGTCACTCATACCTATCCTCTGCTCAGCCTAGATGGATTATAGTTCGCTGTGCGATGACGGACTTGGACGTCATACACTATCTGGCTCATATTTCTTCCAATTAATCAACATTATTTTATAATTACTGTGACATTACACAACTAACACTTTAGTTGGTTTGAGTAAAATGCAAGTATGACATTACTTACGCCTATTAACCCTGGTGGAGGAGCATAAACCGCTCACTAGCATTCACCAGCCAACTCTGTCCTGAATAACCCTTTCCAGTTGTTTTCAGTTGGTAATCATCCTTTTCATGTCTGCTCCCAATTACCAACACAGTGTGTTCTTTGGTCCTCCACTTTTCCTTTTCCATTCAGGATTCCAAGTTAGCATTTGCCTTGTTATACAGCATGATGATTTCCGTAATGTATGTCCTATTTATTTCCAACATCTTTACTTAATTTCCCCTGGTTTGCTCTTTCCCATAGTAAGTTGTTGTTCAAGGTATCCGAAAATTCTGCTGTACCATTTGTAAAATTATCATCTGATAATTATTAATAGACTTTCAATTTAAGTTAAATGTAATATGTAACGATGAGATTTTACATTGAAATAAGCAACTATTTATAGTAGAACATTATAAAATTGATTCCTTAAAATGAAAGAATGACTTTAAGCTTAAATATATTTTCGCGTCGATTATAAATAAGAAATTTATTTTATAGGATTATCTCTACCGTGAAATATGTACAATAAATGAAAACTTAACTTTTAATATGTACATATTACCATATTTAGAATGTACCCAACTTCTACATATAATAGACATAGTTAATATTGTCTAGATAAACAACGAAATCTCCGCAATTTAACTGTATTACTCAGAGGATATCCAAAAATAATACCCCAAACTATTTTGATTAACAAACATTGTTTTTATTATTTTTGTGGATTGGTTGAGATTAGATAATAACACTGTTGGATGCCGATTAATTCAATAGTCTAGACGTTAAGTGTTCGGGTGTGAAACTCAATGTCTCAGGTTCAAATCCATTGAACAGAATCTTGAATGCGTACTGTTGAAGAGTTTTACAATAGAACGAAACAGTCATTTAATACTTCCAGATTTTCAATGATGATGTAACATCAATCGGTTCATGATCTCAATTAAAAATATTTTCTTTTAAAATTATGTTAGTTTAACACAAAAACTAAGGTCATTCTTTTTATTTGTTTTCTATTTTGTACAAATTGAAATGACCTTAAAAAATTTTTCTCACATAGTTCATGAATAGAAACATATGTTTTCTTATCTCATTTATTATAATGTTGTTTTTAGGCCATTTTTTTTTCATTTTATTTTTCATATTTCACTTATGATTTAAAAAATAAATAAAATAGAAAAAAAAAGAAGAAATGAGAGGGAATTTTCAAATTTTGACTTCTGTCTTTCTTAATACCATTGTAACTAGGTTTACCCAAAAATATAATAACAAATAGACATTTCTGATTGGCTAATTATATCTAAGCTTATCATTGGTTTATATACATATATATATATATATATATATATATTTATATATTAGTAATCAACTATACTCTTTAAGTTTATATAAAATTACCAATCATAAATAGGATATATTTGGATCGATGATCATTATCCCTTATTTTTTTTGTTGATAGAAATGTAATAGAAAGAGGTTAGGGGAGGGGATCGAGAAGGAAGGGATTAATGAATATCCTATTCTCATAGTTTCTTTAACTATGTAACTTATTTCAAAACTAAGTTATATTGTATGTTGTATAATCAAGTCTATTTAAATCAATAGATAGAAAATTGTTGGTAAATAAAAACCATCTGTTTTATAATTTAGTAAAATATTATCATTAGTATTTTTCATTATCTTTATCACTTTTTCTTTTGAGGGATTAGTTAAATCATTAAACATGCCTGAAGAAACAGAAGTTAACAGTGGGATAACAGAGAATAAAACTGTTGAAACAATAGAAGTGATAAAGGAAAATGTTATTATTTCAGAGAAAGAAATTAAAACTTATAAATGTATAACTCTTGGAGCATTTGGTGGTTCAAAACATATTAGAATAGATATGAATGAAATGAAATCAGTAGGAAAAAATGAAATTGCTATTGATGTACAAGCATGGTAAGTAATTAGATTTTTACATCATGATAGTGATTTAGAAGAGTTCAAGTTTATTTTTATTTGATTGATAAGTTTGCTAATAAAGCAATTGTTAAGTTTTATAGTTTATATCACATAAATGGATCTTATTACAATGATTACTGAGAATTGGGAAACACTGGATAACTGTTTCGTTTTAATATGGAGGTTTATCAACAGTGCCCGACCTCATTTAGGATAGAATTTGATACATACAGGTCTCGCAGTAAGGGAATTGTTTTTAGCGTTTGACATGGTTTTTGTTTATTATTCTGAAATTGGTTTGTAGAGACTTTGATTTTAAATAATCAGGTTTTAAAGTAAATTAGTTGCATTTCCTATGTTTTCATACACTGCTGATATTATTTCTAGAAGAATTTAAGATATATAATATAGCATTGAGGAGGTAGCTAATTAGTTAAAACTTTCAATATCTCACTATTAGGTAGCGAGTTATATGAGTTTTACATTTAAAATACTTTACCAACTCTATGATTAAGTAGAAAATTGTGGCTATGTCAACAGTTCGTAATAAAAGACTTTAGTAAATGATGATATCTCTATCATCATCATTTCATCACAATTGATTGGTTATAGTTTTAGAGATTATCTATCTCAGTGGTATAGGATGTTATCATAGAGAGTTCAATATAAAAGCCAATGAAAAAGATAATGTAGTTTCTAATAAAATTATTTCTCAAAATGAAATGAATCTACATATGTAGATAAAGTCTGTTTTTGAGTATACCATTTAAATCAATTTGTATAATAAAATCTCTATTGAACTATAAATAATGTATTACTGAATCGGTCATAAAAAAAATACGACAGTTGTTCTCAGTCATGATACTTTGAGAGTTGTACATATTTAATGAAATCAAGATATTTCCAAGAATGTCTATGAACATTTTTAAATAATAAATATTATTTGTAACAATGTATAACATTCAGCTTTAAGTAGATTTCCTTCTAGTCTAAAGGTACCATGTTTGCTGGAAGAATATGAGAAGCACTAAGTGAGAGGAAGTGTAAAAGAAAAGAATTATAAAGTGAAAAAGTAAGCTAACGACGCATAGAATTTACTTATCTTTAATAATCAAAACAATTGGCAACAATTATAAAAGGCATTTAAGATAATCTGATAATCCAAATTAGAATTTGACAATGTAAAGTTTCGGATACTTTACAAAAGCGATATCTTAAATGTACAATAATATGACATTACCTTATAAGGATATGTATTGAATGTTTTCGTATAATTATCTTATACAGATTATTATAACCTTGTTACATTTTACGTTGTTATAATTCAATCACAACGCAGATAACGTTAATGAATAATTCATTTTTTAAAAGATTAAACAATGATTAAGATTAGGAATTAAGAAAAAATACCATGTAAATTAACAGATAAATATTTATGCAGTTAAATTCATTTGGTATTGAAATGTAGATACATTCAGTTGATGAGTTCTAAATAGGACAAAACTCGCGTATTTGATTTCATTTCTAGCCATTATCCATCTTTGCTTATTTACGCAGTTAATATTTTTTGACTTCAAATCCCAAGTCATTCATCGGAAATGTATAATTTATTTCAGTAAACGTTCATAAATCTCAACAATCAAGGGAAATAAAGATTAAATACCTTACAATCGTCATTAATAGCAATGATATAAAGTTTAGTGGATAGATACGTTATGAAAGATAGAATATATGTTTATGTGTAAACCAATGTTTTACGTTTCATCAATGAAGTTAGAAATAATCTAAATAATAATTAAAGGGTAGTAACGAATACAGTGAGATACAATTATATTTCACTGCTGTTATAATGACCATACCGATATAGTGAAGATCAGAAACATATGTCATACAGAAGAATGATGACTATCACAAATTCTATGCTCAGCACCAGTAACTATCGAATAGTTACCATGTTGAGATTTATTCAGATCTTTCAAGATTAAGTATTGGTTAAGTATAACATTAGTTAGTATTTAGATATCACTTAGTGTACTTACAATAGATAGATAAATTTTAAGTCAAAAGATCTTGTTAATGACAGTTTCACGTTAGCCATTCTCTGTAGTTACTGTGGTGAACAGAACACGAGTGGGGGACAATCGAATGTATTTGAGCACGTAATTACAAAGCATCTAAATGAAATCTGAGAATCATATATATTAAATCGTTAATTTGCAATATATCAATCCATCATATCAAACTTGACTGTTCCTGTTGCAAATATCAATCCATTGTCTCACATTTCATTGTTAACGCGTTTTCATACTAATAGCGTTTTGTTCCCGTTTTTTCCTCATCGACCTTCTATTGAAATACATTATATGCCTGACCACCGTCATGTACTACTTGTGTGGATATAAGTAACCCACACCACAGTTACTACTAGGTAATATATCTTTACAGGAAAAATGTTGATAGACTTTTATATTTAACTACTGAATAGTATTTGTGTTCTTAATCAAACATGAAGAATCACACAAATATCTTGTATATTATTAATAAATTTTGCATATCGGACATTAAAATTGGGATTATTATTTTTGTTGTTATCTAGTAATTTCTATTTTCATAGACTTTATATCATGAAACGATCTTAATTAGACCACCATTCAAAACTAGATGATCTGTTCGGCCTAGTGCAGGAAATCACCACAGTGTGCATACACGAAGGCACATCTTGAAATGAAATCCAGAATTGTTGATCCCGTGTGCAAACCCTCAATCTCTAGACTTCTAAGCTGGCATTTGGCAGGATTAATGTCTGATGTATCTAACAGGTCAATATCCCAGACGAGAGGTAGTGGATGCTCAGTGCTAAAAAGTCCTGTAGTAAAACGAAATGGCTGTCCAGTGCTCCCAGGTTTTCAGTGGTAGTCTAACATCGGTTTGTCATATAAATTCTATATTATTCACTAAACCATTAAGCTAATAATTTCTGTTTGATTTAACTCTAAAATTTATTTAGTGGTATCAACTTTCTTGACATAATGACAAGACAAGGTTTAATTGATCAAGCAATGAAACCTCCATTTATTCTGGGATCTGAATGTACTGGAATTATTAGTGAAGTCGGTGAAAAAGTGACAACTTATAAGGTAATGTTGAAACTATTCCATTATTGTTATTAATGAATATAGAAATATTTAATTTTCAAGATAATTTTACACTGTAGATTAGTTTAATTTGTAGGTTGTATTCGTCATAGATTGTTTTTAGATGTGTAATTAAAACAATTGTTATTGATGGAGTTAAGAGATCGTCTGTCATATTACAAGATGATTGAAATTAGAATTGTATTGTTGAATTTAACCTCATTGATTTTAATAGGTAAGTGTTTATCGCAATACCTGAAGGTCGTAGGTTTAATCCTTGATAGAGTATTTAGTGTTCAACATTGAAGAATTTCATCCTAGGATATAATGACTATTGAATGTTTCATTGATTTTTAATAACATCTGATCTAAGATCATTCTGTGATGAATAGGACATTTAATATTTTGAGTGTTATCATTATTTTAATTATTTAGCTGGGTCAAATGTGAATTTTAAAAGGATATAATTGATGAGAAGTATATTTTTAGTAATGATTCGTTAATGTATAGGACAGTAATTGATCAATCTTTGATATTATTTGTGGATTATGGGAGATAATTCTACGCTATAGACTTGAGTTATCAGTTCTTAGCATATTTGTTATATGGCAAATAATGGAATTCAAGAATCATGTGCAGTTTACAGAGACATTTAGCTGACAACTGTCCGAATTCAAAATGAAACACGTGTCCTTGATTTCAGTTCTAAGTATATAATATTGTGATTTGGGCTACCTATGTCGGCATAAGTTGTATATAACGATAGTCAAGAATAGAATATCTGGCAACAGAAAATCGTGAAGGAAAGAATGGGAACAGTAAACAATTGGTATGAAAATGCAGGAATAGTAAAATTTGATGAACATGGATTGAATGAACATTTTGCACGTGATTTATTTACTGGATGGCTCTCAGATTCTACCAAGTCGTTCTGTAATTTTGTGTTCAAAAACACTCGATTGTCTTCATTTGTGTCCTCATTCACTACAATAAGTGGGTGAAGCGCTAGGAATTCGAAAGAGATATCAAACGAATGAATAACAGTTGTGAATAGAGGGAAGAATAGCCTAAGACAGAGTTAGTTGGAAATCTCCAGTTGATGGCCTATGCTCCACAAGGAGTAACAGGGTTAAATTACTTGAAATTTTCTCTGTTGTACTTTCTATCAAAATAGATAGTTTTATTATCTGAGTAATGTTGTTACGAATGCGAATTTTATTAAGAATATCAGAAAGATGAAATATAAGTACACTGAAACCAGAATCAGCATAACAAGTTTGATGGTGTGTATTGAATTCTCAATTAGGCATTATGTAATAGTATCAGTAGTGTAGTAATAACTCTTTCGAAAATAATCATCAGAAGTTTATACTATTATGATGTTTATGAATATTATTACAAAAGAGTTTATATCATCCAGGTTGTGATCTTCAGGACTGAACTTTATTCAGTTTTAGATGGCATTCGTTTATCCCTAATGAGCTGCTCCTATAATTCAACTCTTCTAATAGTAATTTAAACATTTTACTTGTTGGACAAGATGAGAGTCTCATTATATCAATAGATGACACCTGGTATTTGAAGTTGAAGGCTTCAGTGTGGGCATTAAAATTGAGATGTGGGTGCAAAGAGCTAAAGAGTTTCAAATAAGTGCAAAATGCTTGTTCTGAATGCACCAGCTTTTCGTAACCATCTATTGTGGATGTTCACTGCTAAGTAGTTCCATACCAGAACGAAATGGTCATTCAGTGCTTTCAAGTGTTTTCGTGATGGTCTTGTTTTAAATGACTCATGATTTCAAGTATTTAACTACTAAAATATCCACAAAATCCCTTTCTGATAATTTATTATGTTTGATTATTATAATAAAATTAATTAATTAAATTAATTTGTGTGTACAGTTTTGTTCAATCTGTTATAATATAACAAACTTATGGAATTGCGAATGGAAATAAAAACTATATTCCTATGTATTTCATGTGATTTCAGTCAGACATTACAGACATATATTTTAATGATTAGAAAATCCACCTTTTCTTCGTTTAATTTGATTGTAACATTTTTTTGGAAATGTTTTCTAGTCCTCAAATAAATCTTTTAATAATTGACTTCATAAGCCGATTTAAGCTAGACCACTATTGAAAACCTGAGGACACTGGATAGCCGCTTCGACATAGTATGGGACTCTTCAGCAGTGTGTATTCACAATCCCACATGCGGGACTCAAACTAAGGACTTACGGTCTCACGAGCATTTGGCGGTGTTATTGTTTAACTTTAATAGATTCATCATCTTGTACAAACCTTCATCCTTCGTTCAGTGCTTCCAGTTTTTCACTAGTGATCAAACTTAATCCGACTAATGAATTCAATTATTAGAATCTTTACAATCTCTACAAATCCTCCATTCTAACAATCCTATTTTTAATCATTAAGATCATGAGTCAGTTGAAGCTAGACCACCATGGAAAACCTGGAAGCACTGGACGGCCGTTTCGTCCTATTGTGTGTTATTCACATAGTGAAATTACTTAGTTTAATGAAAAGCTTACAATTTTATTACTGAACACTTCAAAGTGATTGATATATTTTCCTTTTGTTTTGTTACTTTAATATAATGTGAAGTATTTGGCATAAAAACGTTATATGGTTAAATTTGAATGGTAGTTAATTACTGTTTAAAGTACACTTAATATATAATTCAAGAAAAGGTTTAGACTTGAAAAATTCATAAAAAGAACTGGATAAAATATACCCAATTAGTAACTGTTATAACTTGTGAACTTGTGTGTCCTGTTTGTTGTATAACGCAACGACACCACCAATCAAAGAGCGGCGAATTAACGATCGAACCAGGGACGCATAAAACACGTACGAGCAGCCTAGAGTCTCTATCGGTCCTGCTTACCGCCTAGCTTAGCCAGTTGAATCTAGAACATCAATCACAGCCTCTGTGATATGAATCATTTATTTCAAACATACTGGATTTATTTACCGACTAAACAGACCACATCATACCAATAAAATAGGAAACAACATTTGTACAAAATTTAGGCAAATATGGCTGTGAATTTGGGAGATAGTAATTGATGAACCAAGTATAACTCAAGAATGGTAAATCGTATAACAATAGTTCATAGATCAAAACAAAGCTCATAATAAGAGGAACATGAATATATACAGTTTAGTTACGTAACAGTTATACGATAAAAATATACTCATGTATTGGTCCATAAATGGATCGCAAAAATTACCATTCATTATTCTTATTGGGATATGGCAGTAACCAAGTTATGAAAATGTGTGTTTTTATTGGAAATAATAAAAAATTAAAGAAAAATAAACTCTGTAAAACTTTTTTTTGTGATTGGAGAATGTTTCACCATTTTTGAAGGCCACCAGAATTTTGAATCAAACAAACAATTATATAAGTGTACATTTATATGGCTACAATTTATTTTTCTTTGACAGCCTTGATAATAATAGAAATGGTTTTGTAGATGTGTTCAAATTGTCTCAGTATTGCTTGTGTGAACTCAACTGAGATAGTTCATAAAGTGTTATTCGTGAACAACGATGCGATGTTTTCACTACTAGCAACTTCTTGCCACGAAAATTACGTATAATCACATGCTTTTTCCAGTCTTGTAAATGTATTTTCCATTTTTCTAAATGCTATAATGTTTGCAAGACTGGAAGGAGCATTTGCTTAGACTCACTCACTCATTATGATCAATCTACATATAATGAAAGCCAGAGCACATTACATTAGTTTAGGCTATTTGTGACGTTATTGTGATGTTAGTTTGTTTGCAAAAATTTAGATCTATAACGCATCCCTTAGAGGTGTTCCACTTTATGCTTATGAACTCTGATCCTCAAAGGCTGAGGAAATTCGGTATTCACTGTTTCAGAAGGATGGTTGACATTCGCTAGTAACGCCATGTTATTAATCCCGAGGTTTAGCAATATGTGTTCAAGTGTAGTAATGATTACTCAGTTATTATGGCAATCTTTAAATACTGACTTCAATGGTTTAGGTATATGCTACAAATGTTATCCCAGAGATTTCATTATATCTTATTTTTTAAAGTTTATACTGTGTGGAACAGTCAGGGAGATAGTTAGTTTATCATATAGTGCCATGGTATGAATCAGTTCACATCTACTTTCAATCTTAACCTCGTAAGGATTGAAATTTAACAATAGTAGACTTTTCTTGTCGACCGGCTAGCTCCATTAAAGTTTCGTTATATATCCCTTGGAAGCATTCCTTTCCTACTTGCGCATACGTATGGGATTCTTTTCGTAAGTAGAATACATACATTCGTTGATAAAAATGATCGTTTTATCAACTTTTTAGCTGCTTTGTAAAATTTGATTGTCTCCTCTCCATTCTTTAGCCCAGGCAAAATCTTTTGACATTGGGTAGTTGAAGGTTGTACGTAGGAAACCGTCAACCTATTATTCGTACTAACTGCAAATCGTCAGCAAGTTTTGTCTGTGATAATAAAAAAATTGGTGAATCCCTGTAGGGTTTCATTCCGGTTATTTACTTTAACAGTCTCAGGTATTACTAATAAGAGATAATTGCATCGACTGACAATGAGGTAGTAAACAATCCAACATTCGCCTAGTCGTTAGTGCGGATTGAATTCTTCCTGTCAACTTAAAATGAGGCCACTTATTTAAGTATCCAGACATCTCGTGCAATGTTTTGATGTGATTTTTTAACTGTCTGTTATGTACTATAATAGTATAACAATTGAAAACTTTAGTTTTCAGCCCCATAGTCCATAGGTTCAGTTAATATACCAGTATTGTAACGTTATTCTTTACACATCAAGTGTGGTTAACGACTGAACACATAAATATAGATTTCCCATTATGAAATAAAATAAATTGATGAATCACATAACTAAAAGGAAACATTTTTGTATTGGTTGTTTCATTGAAGGAATTATCGAAGTAACCCGTATAGGATGCACATATACCAATAAGAGATTGATCGATTTCAGTCCTAAACATCAATAGGAAGATTCAAACAACCAATGTCAAAATGAATTAAACTACACCCCATTGCAGAAGCAAATGGCTATCAGGACTCAGTAGCTAAGTGGATAATGCGATGGCATTTGAAGCAAACGGTACTGGGTTCGAGTCTCGAAGTAAATATCCACTCTAGAATGCAAATTCATCCATCGGACGAGTCCTAAATAGGATGAAACACGTGGATTCTAATGCTAGCCACTATCCATCTCTATTTATAATAAAACAAAAGAGTATAAATGTTTTTATTGAAATTCAGAATTATACAGAAGATAGAAGGAATTCATATAATTCTTATTTAATTACTTTATCTAACTCTTTTAACGTTAATTAAGGTAACTGTGTGTATGAAATATCATTACTTGAATATCATCAATTTATAAAGATGAAATATATTCATATGTAAAGAAATTAATACGGGAGATATTTCACTCATTTCCTATTCTGTTTCAGACAGAATAAACAATACAAACTATTATTATAAAAAGGATTATTCATGAATTAAGCCGATTTATGTTAATATTATACATATATCATTTCATATGTTTACTTCCTGTTTTGAGAATAACTAGCGTTAATATTTACTTTGATCATGGTGATTACATCATATTTAATGAGACAATAAGTAATTACCCTAATTTTTTGTCTATAAATTAATTAATTCTATTTAGAAATTGTATAACTATATGGGTCCTGTTACACATAGATAAAAACTTAGATGTAGACTATATTAACTTTATATCTTTTTAGATGATATGGAAAGAATAAAAATTCAATTAAAGTGTAGTATACTGTGAATTCATTATGTTTTAATGTGTTTAGAGGAAAGGTCTGTAAACACGTAGCTACTAAGCTGTAGCGCTGAATGATCTTAATATCTTAAACCGTTAAGTCAATTATGAGATAGCCAAATCTAGTAAATTCGTTGCATACATTGAGACTAAGACTAGAATATTTAGTTAAACATTCCTGAATTATAGCTAATGTCAATTCTTGATGAAAACCTTAGCTCTAACTCTTGACGGTTAGTATATTCATCATCAGCTTTATGTAAAGGTGGAATAGTTGTTACTCGAAAACTGATGGGTTAAATAAACGTATGCTCTAAAATGTTATTTAATTGTTTTTATTTCTAAAGATTTAGACTTTCCACATTTAGATATTCAGGACTGGATTTAGAGTTTTTATTAATGTACGTATAATTTGAATGAATGCGTTTCTACAAACTAGCTTTACTAATATGGTCTAATATATTTGTATTGTGGCTAGTCTGGGATATTACACAGATTTTTTAATGAATGAATTTTATAGTACAAAACATATATCCAGGATCCCCTTGCTACTCATAATCCAAATTAAAAAAACTGACTTTTGTGTTGTAAAGACGAAATCTTTTCAACTGACACACTTTATTGAAATATTCATCATTCACAAGTTTGTTTTTTTAAATGGTACACTTCCTATTTACACATGTATTCAGTGAACACTATTTGAAAGATGTAAAATCTATTGATCATTAAGTTAAATGATTGTCTATCACTCGGTACTGCCGTATGGAATGATGAAGAAAATACTTCAATTCACTAATGAATAAGTTTTCAATACGGACTATATAATAAACGAAAATAGAATCCAAAACGTGTATTCGTTCTTTGTTGTGTGTTGATATCCCAACAAGATGTTATACCTGGTAGATAATGTCATATTTAGAAATCTGGAGTACCGTTTTTCAATTAATAAATAACTTGTGTATTCGCAATACAGAGGGATTTTCAGAAAATATTGAATTCTTTAGCTTACGTTGTAGAGTGATTATAGTTAGGCAGTTAGTCAACACTTGGTAGAACTGTGCAATTGTATTAAACTAACATAGGACTCTTTATCAGTGTGTATCCACAACAACATCATTGGAGATCGAACCTAGGAGGTCTTGAGGTGTGTTCCTAAATTTCAGACCACTTAATTGTTCTTTAATGGGTTACCTGATTAACTATAATCTAGTCGTAATATTCCCCAAATGTCATTGTTCGCCATTATGTTTACGGATCGATACTTCTGAGGAGTAACCATACAAAAACAAAATTATCATCTATCTAATATTATTCAATGGCGTCAACGACAAAATTTTCAAAGTATAAGCTAAGAATCTTATTAGAAATATTTAGTTTGAATGAAACTAGATCAATGATCGTCAAATACCTAAGACAAATCAACGACTTACCCCATTAATATCATGCAGTACAATTATATAAATTTAAAGTATTTGTCTATCTGTAAGAATAATAAATAATAAGGAAAATAAGGAAAATGATAAAAGAATGGATCAAAAAATTGGTGTGAACAGTTCGTTGGAGAATATGCTTTATCAGAGTCTTTTAATAACTGAATAAATTTCATCTGACACGGGTTACCAGCGAGACTGTAATTTATGAACAAACCAATTAGATTTAAGATAGCATATGTTGGATTTTGGAACGAGATTAATTCACTCACTACGCTAAATACCATTGTGGCATTAAAGTTGATGTCAATTCATGATGAAAACATTGAATGTAATTCTTAACCCTAACGTTCAACTGTAAATTTTAATCGTTATACTTCACACTAATCTATAACCTTCATTTAACCTTAGTAAGTTGGTGGACATTTCAGTCATTTTAGCGCTGCTCAAAGTTCTTCTACAAATTATAGTCTCACAAAATGTTGATGTTCACTTGCCATTTTTTGATTGAAAAGATAGTACGATTTGAATGATAATCCAAAACACGAAACATTTACATGTCTGGATTTTGCTTGATTACAACGTACGAATGTCAAATATACTTTCTTCGAAGATCATACAGTAAATACTTCATTTGCTAGATATCAATCAATCGTCTCAAACTTCATTGTTCCTTCGTTTTCATAGCAATCCTTCTTTGTTCTCGTTCTCTTTTCTTCACTTTCAACTGACGATACATACTACTTATATCAGTAGCGCACATCGTAGTATCGATCGTAGCCTGAAATACATTGATAGAGCACATTAATGAACGTCGGAAAACGAAACTTCCATTTTCTAAACTCTTGAAGAAGACAATAGCTTACCGAAACTGTGATAACAAATAATGGTTAATAATTAAAACATTAGTGAAATCTGTACCTTGTCGTGTTGTAAGCGTTTACTGTCGACAAGTCCCTAACTGAAACGAAACATTTGTCTAGTACACACTGATTTTCATTGACTCTCTAACTGAATTCACTCCTAATATAAAATATACTTTAATGGACCAGTTTTCACTAATCCTTCGTCTATTTTTCTTTTAAATTTTTGATTGAATTCCTCTTTGATTTTATTTCTAGGTTGGTGATCCAGTTGTAGTTCTACTTGATAATGGTGCTTGGAGTGAACGTCTTGTATTACCAATTATAGAAAAATCTAATACTGATCAAACAAATTCAGCAACACAATCTGGAGATGTTGAATGTACGGAATCAAATGAATTTGGAAAGATCAAGTCAATTATACTACCAAGACCAAAAACATTAGATGTTAATAAAGCTGCAATTATTAGCTTTGCTTATATTCCAGCTTATATATTAACTTATCATATACTTAATGTTCATTCTGGTGATGTAGTTTTGATATTTTCAGCTGGTGGTGGAGTAGTAAGTAAATTAAGATAATTTTACATATGTGTGTACTTAAAATACAAATGTCATTAATCATTATTATAGCAAGAATATAATTTATGAATGAATGAATGACAGATTTAGTGTAGAGACTATCAGATTTTGTCACGTATGGCTAAGTAGCATCATAGTTGATTTCAATACTAACTCAAATCGCCAACCTAAACTTTTAACTTCTGAACCTAATTTCTCACATTAATTTGGGGCTATACTAATAAGTGTTTAAAGCTTTAGGATAACTCAAAGGTCGTTTATAAATTATGATTTCACCATTATTGTTTATTTGTAGGGATTCAAATATTTGGTAATGGAGCCTTTATTACTAATCTATCTGGAATAACTTCATGCTGCTAAATGACTTAAACAGTCCGTTGAATACATTTGCTACCAGTTTAATAATAATTAAGTCACAACACGATGTATTATTAGATAAATTTGATTTGTGAATGTACATTAGTCTGTACATTAAGTACTTGTCTCATATCTTTCTTAATACTGCTTAAAACAATAAGTGCTACAGAAAACAGTTAAATAACTAATTCGTTCAAGATCCAAGTGATCCTGTTGTTGATATTTAGGATTGAACTATTGATCAGTTTTTGTTGTCATATAATCATATTGCCATGCTAGTTGGATCGTGGCAAGCAGTGAAATTCAGGGCAATTCATCTTTTTTTAATACATTCTTGTTGCAACAAGATTATATTGAAAGAATCTACACATTATTCACATACGTTAACGTAAAGGGATTAAAATTTAATCCTAAATATCAGAAATGGGATAAATTAAGTCCTTACTAATATTGAAATAAACCATATACTCGTTGAACAAGTGAGTGGTTGTCTGAACTCAGCGGCTCAGTGAATAGCTCATTAAACATTTGAAATAAAAAGTAAAAGGTTCTAGTCCCTGTAGGAACATCAATGTATCAAGTATATCTAGCTGATAAACCTCAAATATGATGAAAATTTTTCTATTAAGGTATAAATCATAAGTGATACTTTAAAATTATATTGAACACTCAATGTAATTTCAATAGTTAAGATCATGAGTCAATTGAAGCTAGACCATTATGGAAAACCTGAAAGCACTGGACGGCCGTTTAGTCTTATTGTGAGACTCCTCATCAGTGCGCATCTACGACCCCGCCTCACAGGATTCAAACTCAGGGCCTAGCTTCAGCTTCTATTGACTCATGATCTCAACTATTGAATTAACTATAATGTCCACAAAACCCTTTCTAATATTTCTCAATGTTGCTGTTTTATTTTTTTTTCAAAATGATGATTTCCTATGTTTTTTTAAAAATGTTTGTTATTTCATTTATTCATAAAGGGAACTGCTTTAGGACAATTAATGAAACTTATACCAAATGTAACTTTAATTGGTATTGCTTCTAAGTCGAAACATGAAAAGTTAACAAAAATTTATGATATATTGTTAGAACCTGATCAAGATTGTGTAACAGAAATTAAAAAGTTAGTGAATTTCATTAATTAGTTCTTATGTTATTGTTATCGATTGATTTGCAAGTGTATATTTCTCTATCTAAGTAACAACATGGTGTAGTGTAAGTTACTGGATATCCCACTCGAAGAAAATTTAATAAGGACCGTTATGAATCGTTGTTCCTTAATCATATCTATAAGCCACAAACCTTCAAAACTTATGTTTTCAATTGTATTACTGTTTATTCTATTTTAGCATCTGTATAATCTCACTATCCTTAACATAACACTTGGATCAAGAGAACTACATAAATCTGTACATCATTGATAAATTCAAATGAAATAATAGTTTAATATAGAATAGATGGATTGTATGTAATTTTGGAATTCATTATATTTAAGATGCCACTGGGTTCGAGTCCCGTAGTAAACATTAACTCTAGGATTTAGAAGGTACATTTTGATTGACGAGTATCAAATAAGACGAGCCGTGCATTCTTCATTCCACTGAAAGCTAAATTCTATTTATCCTATACAAACGTGTATTATAGTGATTATATTGAAACAATCCACACTGAATACACATATGCCAATCAAGATTGATCAAATTCTAGTCAAGGTATCAACAAGAGAATAATTCAAGACGCCACACATTAGATTGACATAATAGTTTCTTTCTCCATTCATTTAAGTAGCCTAACAAATAATACGAGTTATAACATAAACGTTCAGATCTAAACGAACACGCAGGCAGTTACTGAGTTGAGTTAAATATAGTTGATCACGTTCGTAACTTTGCTTTTTATCAGAGTAAGTAGGTACCGGTCAAAAAGCTCACATTTACCACTATACAGAGGTAGCGTGATGAAATTTTTTATTAAAGATGTTAATGAGTTTTATAAATTAGTTGTTGAATATCCGAAATTAATTAAGGTTAGAAGTGTAAATTAATGAATGTAGACTGTATGACCCGTAAGTTCAGTGCTTGATGAGTCATGGATTCGATCCTCAATGGGATTATAGTTGCACATTAGTGAGAAGTCCCATACTAGAACGAAACGTTTGTTAAGAGTTTACTGATTTTCAGTGTTTTTCTTAGTTAAGTTCGGTTAGTAATATTAACCATATGATTGTTAGGTTATCTTAATATTTGACCAGTATTCAATTCGTATCAATTTTCCTAAATAGCTTCGGTCACCATTTAACACTTAATGAGCTGAAGTGTGTTTCTGATTCGATTCATTTAACATAAGATCTTCATTTGCAGTTATTTGAAGCTTAATACTTTTACTAATATTGGTTCACATATAACATTTAAATCATATTCATATTTGTTTAACGCTTCTCAGTCTGTTCTTGGAGCGATAGCTTATATAACGCATATATAACGTGATGTGTTTTTAGTTGTTGGAGGTATTCAAATCACTTGAACTAGTATTTACACGGCTAATTGATCAATAAAATTTTATCAACAGTATGAAGTGATAAAGGATTATATTAGTTATTGGTAAGTAGTCAATCGGTGTATAAGTCACAGTTCCACAGGATATCAATGGCGATCCAAATAGGTCACTAATAACATCTCTGATCGTGATACTTAGTGAAGGGATCATCAGATCATTGAGGATTGCAGTAATTTCCTTATGACTATCTGGACTCAGTAGTTAAGTGGATAACACGATGACATTTGAAGCAAATGGTACTGGATTCGACTCCTGGATTGAATATTAACTCTGGAATGAGAGTAAATCCATTTGATGAATTCCATATAGAACGAAACGTTCGTCTTGAATTCGACTGGTAGACATCATCTATCTCAGCTTATAATGAACTTCGAATATTTGAATTATAATGAAATGGAGAAAATAGAAAGCCAATAAATATAACTACTTTTCGTAATTGTTACATCCTTGATCTGTCTACTCACTTTTATGCAGAGGATAACTTATCTAATCTAGATTAAGACCTTGACGCGATAGGCTGACTAGCTTGCATGCTAGCATGCATGAGTTCGAAGTGAAACCAACTGCTTGGGGTAGAGAGACAAAAATTATTCTATCACCTGATTGGCTGACAAGCATGCGAGTGCAAGAAGACAAGTCAACAGGAACACTACCCAATTTATTCCCAATTCCGATCTGGTTCGCGATTTCAGATCAGTGTAAAAAAAATACATGAATAAAAACTGGAAATTAGCATAGAAAATAGAGTAAAAATATATTACCTTCAGCATTGGAACAAAAAGGGCTATGATAGTGAATCATATATCAAACGAAAGCTTATGATCTGTAGAATAGACTAGGAACAAACATAAACGTTATTATTTTACAAGCCTTGAATTAAATGAGATAACGTCCCCTAAAAATAGCTTCCATAGTTTGTAAAGGCATTTGTTTCTCTGTTCACATCAGCAATAAATATTGATCAAAGTTTATAAATACATTTTTATGAATCCTTTCACATATGTAATTTATATGTTTGTACAAAATTAAATAATGTGAGCTTGTATTAGAAATTATCATTTTCTTTGGGTGTGTGTGTTTTTTTATTATCTACTCATATTCTATTCAATAGACTTTATCCTAATGGAATTGATGCAATTTTGGATTGTATAAGTGGACCAGATACAAATAAATTGTATGGTATATTAAAACCATTAGGAAAGCATGTCATTTATGGTAAATTAATTTGTTAATTTTATAATACTTTTTATGAAAGTTGTTATATTCTAGCGGGACTGCATCTCCTCACGATGCTCCACTACCTTGTGAGTTAGACCTTTAGGTTAAAGGCTCGTATTATGGCCCTCTAAGAAAACCACCTGCTTCGGTCTGGGCACCCGAGCAGTACCACAGCCCACACACAAATAAAATGAAAATTTGTTTGGCGCATTTATATTTGGTGCCCTCTTGTACCAATATTTATATGTTCAAATAAATAAATAAATAAATCTTAAGTTATGCTTAGTTTATTGATTACCGTCACCCACGTTCACAGACACATTTTGGCTTTATTGTGTATAAATGTTATTTTCTATTTTTATGGTGCGTTGCGGTCTGTTTAGTTGATATATAAACCCCAGCATGTCTGAAATAAATGATTCGCATAATGGAAGCTGTTATTAGCATTCTGAACTCAACTGGACGGGCTAGACGAGCAACGGACGGATAGAATGCTAGGCTGATCAAACGAGTTGAAAATCATTGGTTTAGTACAGTAGTAAAATTGAATAAATCGTATGTCGGTTGTCGAACAAATTACGTAATAACTAGCAAACCATAAAGTCACAACAAAAGTATCTTTTAATTTGATTGAGTTGAAAAGGTTTCTGTTCTTCTTTTTGGATTAGAATCACTAATTAAATTAAATTACATAGACGATTTTAAGTGATTGGTAATTTGTAATCTCATCTTTAATTAATCAGAATGATTCTAATATGAAGAAAGAATTATTTGGTACATAAAGTATAGAATTTATATGAATAGTTATTAATATTTGATTGAAGAGTTTTGACATAAATTGACCCTTGAGTATAAGAGAAGATATGATTTATGAAATGTTAACTTAAACTGACACTTATTATGATGTGAGTTATTGATGTCGAGAAATATAAGTAGTATGTATCATCAATGAAAAAAAATGTTTGAAGGTAGACGGTTGATAAGAATAAGAACAAAGAATGATTTCTGTAGAAATGAAAGAAAAGTGAAATCTGAGGTGATTGATTGATATTTGCAAAAGGAACAGTCAAGGTTATGACAATTGATTGACATTTTGCAAATGAAGTGTTTACTGTATAGTTCTCAGACTTTACTAAGAGATTCTGTATTCATTCAATTATCTTCACAAAGTGAATTTTCCATATGATTCACATTTAACTGACTCATATTATCCTACCTACCACAGTAAACATCTGAATATGATTGAATAAGCACTGAGTATAGATTTGATTTGATTGTGAAACATTATATATCCTTTGATAAATTTGATTTTAAGTATTATACTGAAGAAGCCCGAAAAAGTTTGTTGGACAAAACACTAGAATTATTGAGATTTCGATCACTGAGGTTATTGGAAATATATTTTTCACAAATAGTAAATCATGAAACTACAAGTAGTTGATGAACACTTCTAGAGTGAACGTTGGTTTTTCTTGTAGCTGAGATACTTAATAAAATTGTTTTAAAATGTTTTTTTCTTTGAAAGACCTTGTCTGGTTATAAAGAACTTTTAAACTAACCCCTATATTCAACACAACAACTCTTAATATCTAACCAAAAGTTAGTTAAGTTTGTATTTAAATTTTAAGCAAAATTTCTGTACACTACTGAAATGATTATATTGCATGCATATCACTTTGATTGAGATTATGAATCGATCAATATTAGGGTACCATGGAAAACTTGGAAGCACTGAATGGCCGTCTCATCCTAGTATGAAACTCCTCAGAAGTTCACATCCCTGACCCTACACATAAGGATTCGAACCTAAGACCTTCTGTCTCGTGCACGAACATTTGGCCTCGATCGAAACTCAACGATTTTCACAACCCTATACTGATATACAGTTTTGATATCATTCAAGTCAGTTACAGTGGTGTTTTTAGCTTTTGTTATCCAGTGACTTACATTAATCAAGGTTTATTTGAGTTTTCACCATAGATAGAAGAAAAAAAATTGTTTCTGATTGATTTGTCCTATTAACACATATAATGGAAAAATGTCACTTCATCTGGTATTTCATTACTTTCTTTTCATAACCTATTAATTTAACATGTAATAAATAATTTATTCTAGTTTCCTAACTGAAACTAATTAACATCGAGTTGACGGTTAACCTCATATTACAATGTATATATAGTGATCTTGATGTCGCTACTTTGATTATGAATGGCACATATTCATAATGAAACACTTCTATATGTTTTACTAACAAGAAAATAATAACTCAAACACATACCGTTTTCTTCTTTAATGATGATTATCAAACATGTATATGATAAAATTCTTAAAACGAACTTTACTAAGTTACATTCAAACATAGTTAACTAAATAATAACAGAATAGAATAGTAAGTTTACAGATTATTTTATGTTACTTGTCCTTTAAAATATCACAATGTAAATCAAAGATAAGTTTTGTCTAGCAATAGAATCTTATTAAAAACTATTCAATAGAATGAAATTGGATTATTGCTGTGTTGATATGTATACTGACGTTCAAAATCAATTGCTATCACTTCCAACACAAAAGAAGTTTGATGAATAAATCTTATTTACATAAAAAACTAATTTGATTTCTTTAATTCTGAAGAGTCATTAGTTGGAAAGTGCTGGGGGGCGGCCTATACTCCTACATGAGGAGTAACATGAGTAAGTAAGTAAGTAAGTAACTGTAGTGAAAAAGAACACAATCGTGGACAATCGAATGTATGTGAATACAAAATTACAGAATCTTTTGGTAAAATCTGAGAACCATAAAGTAAATAAATCATTTGCAAAATATCAATCAATTGTCTCAAACTTGACTGTTCCTTTTTTAACAAGTGTCAATCAATCGTATCAGAATTCATTATTCTTTAGGTTCCACAACAATCATTCTTTGTTCTCGTTTTCATTTATTTGATTTGTTTAATCTTTTGCTTTTAGACATTTCACTTTTGATTGATGGTACATACTACTTATATCTTTCGACATCAGTAGCATACACCACATCGGTATTTGAGGGACTTCAAGTTAAATAGATATCGATAAACAATTCATAACACCAAAAACTACTGAAAACCATTGATTTTCCCTGTCATTATGAATTGGTTAAACTATAGATAATATAAGAATTCAAATGCGATATATCATATAAATAGGAAATCTGATTTTCCTCTTTTTTGTTTTTGTTTTCCAAAGGTATGTCAAACTTAGTCACTGGAGATAGGAAAAATTTTTTAAATTTAGCAAAACATGTAAGTTTGTTTCACTATTGACAATATGAATGATTTTATAAACAGACGGATGTTTGTGCAATAGACATTTTTTTTTCTTAGTTAACTCTAAAGAAATTCGGGATGATTTGAAAATGTTAAATTAACAAAGATACAAATGAAGAATTTTTTTTCACAATTAAATTCATATCAAGTTTGTTAGCGTTAAATAAACTGAAGTTATTAACATATAGAAAAGATTTATGTATTTTTCATAGTGAATTGTCTCACATAACCAAGATATATAGATTAAGTTATTTGAATTGGTTAAAAGTTCACGTGCGAGACTGAAGACCCTGGGTTCGAATCTCGAAAGCACGATCGTGAATGTGCACTGTTGAGGAGTCTCACAATAGAACGAAACGACTGTTTAGTGCTTTCAAGTTTTCAATGGTGGTCTAACATCAATCGGTTTATGATCACAATCAAAAAATATTTGAATTGAGGTTTGATCATACTAAGATGGAGCTGAATAAGATGTTTTATAAATAGAGAGCTATGTTTTTATGAATTGTTTTTCCCATAGAAATTTGTACAATTCACTAAACACCTATCTGATTTTACTATATCTTATTTTTAATACTTTTTAATCTTGAGATGAACATTTGTCTAAATTGTTTTGTATGTTCATTTAACCGATAATCTCTCAGTCAATCATAATCTACAGGAAAACTAATTGTAAATATAAGACTGTGGAGATTGAATCATGAACTGACCAGTGTTATACCATCATTGACAATCAGAAAGCACTGAACGACTGGTTTGTCGTGGTATGGAACCCCTCAGCAATGCACATCCACTACTCCTCATATGGAATTGAACCCAAGATCTTGTAGTACAAATTTACATCTCCTCGTATTGCTGCACTACAACAACACAGCTTGACAGAATTATCAAGATGAATGTCAAAATAATAAGAATAGTTGTAATAATAGTAATAGTAGCCGTTAGCATTTTCAGTACAGAGAAAATGGTTAGAGAACAAAAAAATAAACTCGTGAAATAAAAGGAATATAAGGTGATTCTAAAACTCTGGATCTAAAGGGTGATATTTGATGAATCCACCTGCACCATTTTAACCTGTTCTGAGACATATCAGCCAGCATCCTCACGATAATCGTGAATATCTCAACTACATAGTTTTTACCTATGAATATGGCTCGGTTAGTTAGTGGTTTTATGGACTGATGTAACGTCTTGGTTTAGACCATTTCTAGTATTCTAAACAACATTTTTCATATTGAGGGAATTAATTGTTGTGTATAATACGTAATATGCGTCCTGTCAATCTCAGTTGGTGCAAATTAAAAATCTTTATATGTCATTTTGACATTTACAAAATGCAGTAAGTGAACCTATTTTGATTAAACAATCCTAAATTTATAACATGTAATGTTGAAAAGTCTATTTGCGCAAGACTTGACTATTCCACTGGATCATTAATTTGATCTTATTACTGTAAGATTCGATCAGAATTTACTGATGTAAAAAGTTTTCATCTGAATATCTGTCTTCTGATAAACAGAGGACTAAATTTCTGGAAGTCTATTTTTTAACAAACTGAATAATGTAGAATAGATAGAATGCGACCAGCAATGGAATACAGGACTACCGTTTCCTCTAATTTGATACTCATCAGCTGGATATGTTTGGACCCCAGAGTTGATATTCACTCCCTGACAGGAGCCCAGTATCGCTGTCTCTTAACACCATCACGTTATCGACTTAGCAAATGAGTCCAGATGGCCACTCACTTGTATAACCAAACGAAACGTGTGTTCTAGATTCCACTCCAAGGCATATTCTATTTAATTTATACTAAAACTTGTGTCAAAATGACTACATCGAGGGAATCCGCATTAGATGCACTTATCCCAACCAAAATTAATTGTATTTCAGTCAAAATATCAACATCAGATTAATCCAATCTATTTAAAATTGAATTAACTCTGACTAATTGTTATAATTTTCGCATTAAGAAAAATGTTCATGTTAATAATTACCTATTTGGAGTTCAAAATTTGGTTCGAGGAAAAATAACAGCTACCTAGCTTTTCTGATAAATTCTTACTTACTTACTTAATTAATTAATTACGTCTGTTACCCCCAATATCAAATTATAACTTGTTTGGGTGATATCAATTTATCTGAAAATACAAACTGAATTATATCAGAAGGGATTTTATGAAGATTTTAGTAATTTCAATGGTTGAGATCATGAGTCAATTGAAGCTACACCACTAGTGCTTCCACGTTTTCCATGGTGATCTAGCTTCAACTGACTCATGATCTCAACCATTGAAATAAACTGAATTACTTATGATAGTGCGATATCAATAACTTAAAGGAAATAATGGGTTTTTTTTTCTAAATTTTCAGCCACTGCTATGCTTACCACTTTCTACCAAGAAACTATGATTGAACTATAAATATCATCTTAATAATTAAAAGATAATAATTACACTCATTACAGTACTACACTACTTGAAAACTTTTAAAGTAGTATCCAACTCTTAGTGCATTTAATGTAATCTATTATGGTGTTTTAGCAAATAGTAAGGAATATATGTTTTATATAATTAGTATCATTTTAAAGTGAAACTAATCAAGAGTGATGACTTTTAAATGTGAATGACAAATGCCCTGGTTATGCCGAGAGTGAGGAGAACCAGCTCTCTTTCTCGAAATGCTCTCACTTGGCCACGTTCATACAACCACTGCCTTCCCACTGCCTTTTCGCGGCGGGGGTGTTGTTTACGAAATTTAGAGGACAAAAAGCGAATGTCCATCGCTTTAACTGGGTTGGTGGACACGGACGGTTCACCTAGGGGAGTTGAAAAACCCTGATTCAAAATTAATGGTGCACATGGGCTCCAGTATCCTGAAGGAACAAATGGCAATATGAACTATGAGACTGCATCTCCTGACGTTGCTCCACTGCCTTGTGGATTAGACCTTTAGGTCGAAGGCTTCGGGTTTGGCCCCCTGAGTAAACCACCTGCTTCGGTTTGGGAACCCGGACAGTATCCTAGCTCTCACACAAATCGAATTATTTATGTGGCGCATATCTATTTGATGCCTCCTTGTGCCAATGTTTATGTGTTTAAATAAATGAATGATGAATAATTCACTGATCTGATGTTATCATTTCTAATGTCCAGTTACATTTTAACGTTTATAATAATTTAAAGAATAACTGAAATGTTTTAGTAATCAACTATCTAAGTCGTTAAGTTACAAATTTAATATTTTGAAACTGATGAAAGTAAGTAGACATTTTTCGTGTTATAATAACTATCAGTATACAGAACAAATAAGATTTCATTTCTTTGAAATTTTGCAAAAGTTCAAACATAGATTAAGATAATTTTTATAGTAACCGATGTAATATTACAGAGCTATTGATGCTAACCTAGTGCTATCGAATTCCACAAGGAGAATCATCTTTGTTAACATTACATACATGTCTTAATGATGATAATCAACTGGTAAGAAATCTAAATCCAAGTGGATTCTATCTGTTTCTTTCAACCATCCAATTTAAATTCCTAGTACATCTATACATCAAGTCACTTAGATTATTTATTTTATTTCAACAAGTTCAGCGTAATTTTATCAATATCAGGGATTATAAAAACCATGATACAAATATAAGTTTTTAATAGTGTTGTATTTTGCAAAAGATGATTTAATTATAAAGCTTTCATTGTCGTTCTGGATAACATAGTTAGCGTCGACCCCAAGTGAAAGTTTTCTATATGATGATGTTATCAAGAGCAACAATATAAAGTTTTGACATCAAATAGTTTTGCTCACAGAACACAATACCATCAAAGACATCCATCTGGGTCGCAAATCTTGTTCATCACATTGATTTATATATTAAGAAATTCCGAAAAAAATTCATTTTAATTCGTTTTTTTGTTGGTTGTTTGAATATTCCCATCGATGTTTAGGACTGCATTTGATCAGTCTCTCATAGGCATATGTGCATCTTGTGCGAATCGCCTTGATACTGTCACAACAAATATAAGCAGAGGTGAATGGCAGCTAGCAGTGGAATCCAGAAGTCCCAGAGTCAACATCAACTCTATGGTGCAAGTTAATCCAGCTGACGAGTCCCGAATAAGACAAAACGGGTGTTCTGGATTCCTCTGCTAGCCACCATCTATCTTTGTTTAGAAAAAGCTCATTGTTTCACTTCACTAATTTTTTCTTAATAAATTCTTTTATTATTTCAGTGGTTTCATATAGAACGTATTAATCCGTTGAAATTACACGATGAAAATTTACTGTTAGGTGGATTTTCATTAAAATCACTTCTCTTCTCTCGTGATCCTAATCAAACAGAAACGAATAAATTAATTATTGACGTATGGAATGAATTAACAAAATTAATCGATAGTCAAAAAATTGATCCAATAGTTGATAGTCAGTGGTATTTAGATGAGGTAAGAAGCAATAAACAATGGTTGTTTATAATGATTTTTTTTCAATGATTATGACAATTTAATGGTCAATTGAAGCTAGACTATCATGGAAAACCTGAAAGTACTGGACGGTCGTTTCATTTGACGGTAGCGCAACTTTGTGGATTGGTTGAAGTTAGACATTCACACCACTGAATGCTGGCTCAGTGATCAAGTGGTCAAGCGCTCGCGCGTGAGGTTGATTGTTTCTGGATTCGAGTTTTGCGAATGGGATCATGGATGCGCACTGCTGATTAGTCCCATACGACGACAAAACGGCCGTTCAGTGCATCCAGGTTTCCCATAGTGGTCGACACATGAATTCAACCATTAAATTACTATAATATTCACAAAAACCCTTCTCTGAATATAAAAATTGTTATAAATAACTTGCTTATTTACTCCTGTTACCCCTCGTCGATGAGCATACGCTACCCACCAGAAGTGTGTTCCTTAGCCTTCATCTATCCCATTTCACTTCAGGATGATTTCCTCAATGTGTATCTTATCTACTTTAATCGTCTTTTCCTAACTCTCTTTTCAACTGGAAGCTAATTTGTTCTCTCTGATTGTAGCTTGTTGCTGATGGTATCTGTCATAGATAAGATATCTGTTTTTAAATTTCTTCTAATTTAATATTAAATTGATTTAATTATTTACCTTCAGTTTTGATTTAAGAATAGCATTTTATTTACTTGGTATTTACTCAAGCGTGATTATGCATATCAAAAATGTAATTAATATCTGGTTAACTATTTATAAAAAGTAGTTTTGAAGTGGTTTTATTTAATAATGATTAAAAAACTTTTGTTTAGAAGACTAAGGATACTAAAACATTCAATAGTTAATGTACATTGGTTGAAAAGTTAACTTAAATAGACCATGGTTATTATAAGTAGAGATGTAGATGACTAGCAGTGAGATCTAGAATACGTGTTTCATCCTAGTTGGTACTCTTCAGCTGAAGTTGGTGTTCATTCCAAAAGTCGAACTGAATATCGTTCACTTCAAACACTATCGAGTTATCCACTTAATTATTAAGTTCCGATAACCACTAGCGTGTTTAATGGAGTAAAGTTTCATTCATTTTTGCATTGGTTCATTGAATCTGATTAATTGCAGTCCTATACATGAATGTGATAATCCAAATAACCAACACAAAAACATGGTTATTATAGTTAAAGCCATAAGTGATCAATGGTAAACAGATCTTGATTATTATTAACTATGATAAAATTCTGTAAAGCACACATATATTACAAAGCTTCATATATTTTGGAGATTGGTAAAATTAAAAGTAAATCGAGAGTAAAATATATATTTCTAATGACATTGGATAATTGTCGAATTATATAACCCTAATTGATTGGTGTTGAAATTATTACTATTCGAAGACGGATTAGTGATTCTAATGGCTAAGTGTTCGCTTTAACACTTGAAGATCCTGGGTTAGATCCCAGGTAACTTCATAAGTGCATACTTCTTAGTTCTATGAAAAAAAAGTTATAGAGCTCTTTCAAGTTTTCAACAATGTTTCAAAAGAATTTTATTTATGTCAAACGTAACCTATGTATTGAAAAGATGAAGTTTATTACTTATCAATATAGGTTTGTGGATATTCTTACGTTTTGACTTAGATTATGAATTGATTAATCTTAAACCACTAATGGTAACCTGGAAGCAATTGATGGTCATTTCGTCCCAGCATGGGACTACTCAGCAGTGCGTAATCATGATCCTGAGCACGGGATTCGAGCCCAGGACATTCGGTTTTACTCGTGAACGCTTAACCTTTAGACCACTGAGCCAGCTTCTAACGATGTCAAGGTCGAACTTCAGTCAATCTACGATATTGAACAACCATCTTTGATGGCTTTTTATGGAACATTTTGATAACAAACATTTTAAAACATCAATAGTGTAAATGATTATCACTGAAATGTTTATGGAAAATCATAGAAAACAGATGGATACTAGAAAATTGTTTTCTTTTTAATACAGGACTCATTAGTATTATACACCAAGAACTAGACTAAATATTATCACTATGACTAATAGCCTCATTTTCAACACAGCTGAATACCACTGGTAATGTTTTCTTAATTGTCTTAAAGAAATTCTTCCCAATATTACTGACTATTTGAGCGAATGATTAATATTGTTAGTTACTAAATGTTGTTTGATTTTAATACATGAACTCTTGTAGATCATTTGATATTTGTCAACTGATAAACTAGTACATAAAGCTCAAATAATCAGTTAATCAAGATTGTTTCTTTTGATTGATTCAATAAGTTCAAGTTTGATTGATTGTTTAGAATTTGGATTTGAACTGTTAAGAAAGCTACTGTTTGAATATTGATTTCTGATTCCATCGGAAAAAACTTCATTAAGGGTGATATAGTTCGTACTGACTTGGTTTTTCATTCATATCATTCACGAAATATCTTGATATTAGTTGTTTTTAAAATGATACTTCGTTCTAATTACAGACTAAAGAGGCTATGATGCGTTTACAAGAAAGGAAGAATATCGGTAAAGTTGTTTTAATTCCTAAATTGAAGGAAAAGGAAGTAAGTTTACTGAAAATCTTCCTCATCCTATTTATTTATACGGGTAATATAAGATGTCATATTGGCCATTTAGTACTTGAATTATATTCAGTATATTCATAAGATTATGCTATTTAAAAATATTGATAAGCTTTTCTCAGTTAGTTATCTTAGAAGCAACAGTGATTCATCAGTGATAACATTCATTTATAGATGATACCTACTAGTGAGGTTATATGGATTGCATAGTTTACATCATCTTAGTTAAACAACCAGTGAAAGCTACTGGATTCATTCTAGTACGGGACTACTCAACACTGTCCATGGATGGAGTGAACTAAGAACCTTCAAGCCAATGTAGGCAATTAGTCACCGATGTCATCGTAAGATGGATGTATAATGCTGGGAACTGAGTAAGGTTAGACATATAAACCATTAGTTGACATAATCCATGATGCTGACACTAGATTTGTTACGTGGTAATCTAATATTGAAGACAAAATACTAGTCACTAAACTCTTCAATACATTTGAGGAAAATTAACTGTGTATTTAATTCCGGAAAGAAAAATTAAATAAATTATTTCAACTGGTGAAACAGAAGATTCTATAAGTAATTTTCTAATATTTAGACGTAGGGCGGTATGTTTAAATCAATTGAATGGGAAATAGCTGGTAACGGAATCCGTAACTGTGGTCTAGTTAGTAACTATCTCGATTAAGAAGCTAAATGGATGATGTGTTAGTGTCTATATCCAAAGCAACTGATTTCGAATCCCGGAACGAACATCAACTCTAAGATGCAGATACTTACCTACTTACATACTTACGCCTGTTACTCCTAATGGCGCATAGGCCGCCGACCAGCATTCTTCAACCCACTCTGCCCTGGGCCTTCTTTTCCAGTTCCATCCAATTCTTCTTCATTTTTCTCATGTCTGTCTCCATTTCCCGGTGTAATGTGTTCTTTGGTCTTCCTCTTCTCGTTTGGTCTTGAGGATTCCATGTGAGGGTTTGCCTTGTGACGCAGTTGGATGCTCTCCTCAATGTGTGTCCTATCCACTTCCAGCGCTTCTTCCAGATTTCTTCGTCCGCTGAGATCTGGTTTGTTCTCTCCTACTCCGCCTAGAGTCACTCTAGGGGCTGCTGCCGGTCCCAAGCCCGGAGAAAGGAGGAGGGTTGGGCATGGGGTTAGCGACCCCATCCCGTAGAAAACTAACTCGCTATGAAACGCTAACCAGAGATGCAGATACATCTAACTAATAAGTCCCAAAAAGAACGAGACGTACATCCGGAATTCCAAACCTTATCATAATTCCTCTATTCTATATAAACTTCAGTCGTAATAGTTAATATCCAGTCAGTCCACATTGGATTCACATATACCCACCAAGACTGATCAAAGTTCAGTCAAAATATCAACATGAGGATAATTCAATCTGTATAAAAATCATTTACTTGTGATTGATTGGTATGTCAATGATAAATCTTACTGTTATGGAAGTTATGTGTTTAAATTTGAATATATATATATATATATATATATATATATATATATATTATGTAACTGGATTGCATCTTATGTACTTGACGTAATTCTAATTTCAGGCTGAAGAAGTGGTTGAAAGTACTGAGAAGCCGACAACAGATGAGACGACAACAAATTCAACAGCTAAATAGTCAATTTCTTATGAATTACTAAATAAACAAAAACAAAAACAAACTGCTTGATTTATTATTTGTTTTGTCTTCCTGTCATAATTTGTGTTGCTGTTTATGTGATATATGTTAAATGATCACTTCATCAGAAGATAAATTCCATATTCCAACAACAACAAAAACAACAACAACGACAACAACAATAAAGAAAAAGAGCAACTAAATGTGACTAATGAATGTTCCATATTAGATGAAGTCTTCATAAAGTCATTTCTCTTTATCTTTTCATCTTTTTTTTTAATGTTGTGAAGAGCTATTAGTTGATATCAATATATAAACATTATTATCGTATGTCAATATGTGATTTATATACAATTATCTTATTTAATGTTTTTCTATTGAAAAATATTCATCATGTGTTTTGTTTGATTTCGTTTTTTTTTGTTCGTCCGTTTGTTTGTTTGTTTTGTTTTGTTTTTGAATAAACAAAATTATTGATTTGTCATTTTCAATGTTCAATGTTATGTGATATGATACATTTTGTTATTTTTCATTAGTTTTCTTTTTCTTTTTTTTTTCTTTTTTCTTTTTTTAAAAATTTTTTTCATTTATTTGTTTGTTTAAAATGGTGATATTTGTTGATTAATAATGGAAATGAAATTTTTGTGCTTGTTTTTTTTTTGTTTTGTTTTGCTTTTAAATGTACTTTATCATCAATATCATTGTTATCATTAAAATGACTATTATAATGTTACAGATTTTTAGATAACTATATTCTTTCATTTGAGTGTTTCATTGAAACTAGTATCCTCTTGTTAGTAAAGTTATTTAAATAGTTAAGTATATAGTTTTGAGTAAAGAGAAATAAATATGTACTATGATTGATATAAATCAACTTGATTTAATTTGAGGTAATTAATGAGAAAAAGAACTCTTGAATAGACTAGCCAAACTGAACCCAATGAATATCCATGCTACAATTATAAACCGTCTTATAAATTTTATAACATTAACAATAAAAAAAATCAGCATGTCCATCAGACAAATTAAGAGTGGAAAGCAAAATAACCAGATAGAATACCGTATGAAGCACTGAAATCGGACATAAAATCAACTGCAATCCTGTTGCACATTCTATTCAGAAAGGTTTGGGAGGAGTAACAAGTGCCAACAGACTGGAAAGAAGGACATCTCATCAGTATATCAAAGAAAGAAGTTCTGAGCAAATGTGAGCACTACAAAAGCAGCATACTACTGTCAGTACCAGGAAAGATTTTCAACTGAGTGTTGTTGAACCAGATCAAAGAATAAGTAGACGACTAGCTCCTAGATCAACAGACCGGATTCCGTAAGGATCGGTCGTGAACAGACCGATTCGCTGCACTACAGATCATCTTTGAACAATCAGTTGAATGGAACTCGTCACTATACATCAGTTTCCTTAACTATGAGGGGGGGAGTTTGATAGCGCGGATAGGAGAACATTATGGTAACTTCGACACTATGGAGTGAGTAGCTGGGAATATCGTCAACATCATTCGAAGTTCGTAAGACGAACTACACTGCAAGGTGGTGCATAGAGGAGGGCTGACAGATGCATTCCAGGTGAGGACCGGAGGCAGACAAGACGCCTTACTCTCTCTCTTTTTATTGTGGTTGACTGGATTATGAAGACTTCAATAACTGAAGGGATACATGGAATACAATGAACAGCTCGGAATCAATTAGAAGATTTAAACTTTGCAGATGACCTGGATCTTCTATCCCATACACACGAAAAAATGCAGATGAAGACAACTAGTGTACCAACAGGCTCTGCATCAGTTGGTCTCAACATACACAAAGGAAAAACCAAGATCCTCAAATAAAATACGGAGAACATCAACCTAATCACACTTGATGGAGAAGCTCTGGAAGATGTGGACCCTTTCATGTACCTAGGAAGTATCATCGATGAACATGGAAAATCGGATACAGGCGTTAAGGCGAGGATTGGCAAAGCAAGGGCCACATTCCTACAATTGAAGAATATATGGAACTCAAAACAACTGTCGACCAATATCTAAGTCAGAATCTTCAATATGATCGCCAAGACAGTCCTACTGTAAGGAACTAAAACTTGGAGAACTACCACAACCACCATCAAAGAAGTACAAGTAGTTATACACAATTGTCTACGTAAGATACTGAGTGTCCGTAGGCTAGATGCCTTTAGTAACAACCTACTGTGAAAGAGAACTTGATGCTGAATATGGAACTAGGAAAAGATGTAGATGTAGAGTCTAGGATGTAGAGTTAAGATTAAGATGTGGAGTTTAATAATTATAGTCAAAGTTGAGATATAAGATTGTTGCGGAAAGTTTAGAGTTAAAGTTAAGATATATGGACATACAGACCAGGCGTAAAGCCTCATTCTAATCTCAAACCCTGATTTTTATACTAACTAAAACACTAACCCTAGATTTTGAACGTTAAATTCTAAATATTAGCTCTACGAACCAGTCATTAAAATCTATCGTTTACTGAATGTAACAGCTAGATCAGCATTGAAAACCGGGAAGCACTAGATGGCCGTTTCTTCCTAGTATGGGACTCCTCATCAGTACACACCTATGATCTTGCACTCAGAACTCGAACCCAAAGCGTTCGGTCTCGCGTGAACGCTGATTCTCTAGACCACTGGGCCGTCATCCAACGGCGTTAATATCTAACTACAACCAATCCATAATCTTGTTCAGTCCTTCATCCATTGTCTGAAGTGCATAATCGTCTCACATCCGACATGGATTGAGCTCCACTGCTCCATCCTAAATTCTGAATCTTAAGTTATAAATATTATTATCAGTCATTAATTGTTGTTGTTTACTGATTAATTCATGCAGATGTGAAGGCACGGATCGGCGAAGCAAGAACAGCATATTTACAATTGAAGGATATCTGGAACTCAGAACAACTATCGACCGACAACACAAAAATCAGAATTTTCAATACAAATATCAAAACAATTCTACTCTGTCGGACGGAAACTTGGAGAACTACGAAAGCCATCATTCAGAAGATACAAACGTTTATTAACAGTGGTCTGTGCAAAATACTTCGGATCCGTTGGCCACACACTATCACCAACAACCTACTATGGAAGAGAACAAACTAGATTCCAACGGAAGAAGAAAACAGGAAAAAGCACTAGTAGTGGATAGGACACACATTGAGGGGAGCATCCAACTGCGTCACATGACAAACCCTCAATTGAAATCCTCAAGGCTAATGGAGAGGAGGAAGACCAAAGAACAGATTACACCGGGAAATGGAGACAGACATGAGAAAAATGAGGAAGAATTGGATGGAACTGGGAAAGAAGGCCCAGGGCAGAGTGGGTTGGAGAATGCTAGTCGGTAGCCTATACTCTATTGCGAGTAACAAGCGTAAGTAAGTAAGTAACTGATTAATCGAATATGGTCAAGAATTTTCAATGGTCATTCAAGAAATCCCTTAACCTCATTCTTATTAGTATAATTCTATATTAGATAATCATTATTTCAAATAAACTACATAACTAATAACTTTTTTATCAGAAGGGGTTTTGTAGAGATTTTAGAAATTTCAATAATTAAAATCATGAGTCAATTGACGCTAAGCCACCGTGGAAAACCTGGAAGCAATGGGTGGCCATTTCGTCCTATAGCTGGACTTCTCAACAATGCGTATTCACGATCCCGACCCCAACGAAATTCAAACCCAGAACTTATCAGTCTCGCAAGTGATCTCTTAGCCATTAAATCATTGAGCTGACCGGTAACCAACGATGCTAATATCTAACTTCAACCAATGCACAAAATTGTGTCACCATACACCTTACAACTTTTTATAATAATAATAATAATAATAATCACAAACAAATAAACAAAATATTTATTTTAATTAGATTTTACAAATTTATAACATAATTTCACTGAATCATATAATGTAATATTTTCCCATTTTGTATAAATCAATAAATCAATATGTTTTATAGAATAGATCATAAAAATAAATAATGTAATAATCAATAAAAAATATGATATTGATATAATCAATATAAATGATCCTAAACATAATATAATATTATTAGTTCTATTACAAAATATATTTAATATAATCATTAATATTTTATTAATATTATTACATGGTATAATATTATTAAATAATTGTTCAAATTGATTATTTAATAATTTACTTAATTGATTTAATAAAAATTGAATAGATGAATTAAATATAAACTGTATAGATTCGTTTAATCTTTGAGGATTAGATGAAATCTATGAAAGAAAAAAGAGAAAAATATATATATATATATAAAGTGGAAAAGATATGAAATATGATAAAAGTGGATAAGATGATTGATTACTTGAATGATACATTAATCATGTTAGTAATTCAAAATTGATGTTAGATATGAACTGTGTTAGTTGCTGGGTCATTGGCTGAGAGGTTAAGTTTACGAATGAGATTGAAGGTCGTGAGCTTAGAATCGATTACAATGGTGTAGGTGTATACATTTTTTTGTTTTTATTTAAACTATGAGATTAAAATCATTTTATGACTTTCTTTCTACTAACTAATTCTTTCTTTCTATACTTATGTCCATATATGCAATCTTTAGATGGTGGTTGGAGGTAGTCAATAGAAAACTTTGAGCTTGGGTTTCGTGCTACTTAGCACTCTTCAGCAAGGTATAGCTGTAATCTTGAGGGAACTGGTGCTCCCTGACGGATTCAAACCTGTGTCACTCAGCTTCACAGTCAGAGACGTGGTCACATTGCAACGTGCTGGATAGCATTCAATCTGCATTAAGAAGGACTTGACACACATGACATTGATCACCACTAAGTGATTAATCAATTGTGATGCAGTCTTTCTTTTATATATTATCACCACTCAATTAACTATTTTTATGAATTTCAGTGTTCATCTTTATTGTGCTAATGAGGTATGGCAACTTGTACTGATGTACATATGTACCTGGTCCTGTTGTAACTGACTGACGAGTCCCGTATGCAAGACTACAAATGAACACTGCTGAGGAGTTTCATATTAAGATGAGATGTCCTTTCAATGCTTACAGGTCTTCATTAGTGGTGCAACATAGATTGATTCATTATTACGATTAAAAAACAATCCAGCACAATCCTATACTGAAAAAAATAAATTGTCTCTTGGTTTAACTATTAGCCAATTTAAAAACTTAGCGATAAGTTATTGGTACGAGTCATAATTTCAGATGAGCATAATATAAAAGTGCATTTTCGGGATAGTGACACAATAGAGTCTGCATTAATGAAAGTTTAGGATGTGTTTCAAAAGGATGAAAACCAGAATATTTTCAGTGAGATCAACTGTCATGATTTCAATACAGCTTATGTGGGAGAAACATCTAGATATTTGAATGTGGGATTACAGTAACAAAAATAATATTTGAAACTTTTCCCCGAATCCTCGGTTGATCTGAAAAAACTTAAGAAAAGGTTAATGATAGCTTTGCTTATGTTAGAAACAGGTCATAAAGTCAGTTCCGAAGGGATCAAAATATTCCAGAAAAGATTTGGTTTGCCTAAAGTAAGATTGACATCAGAACAGTCCGAACAGACAAGATATTGTTCAACTAGCTACCACATTGTAAATATTTATTAACAAGTAATTAAATCCTATCTCTATTTAGTCTGTTTATTTCACACGTACCGTTGTTTGATAGAAATCAATGTGATTACAACAATGGATTGAAATTAGGACCTTCGAGTCTCGTGCCGAGAAACCAACATTTACACCACTGAGTTCACATCCAATGATTTATATGTCTAACTTCAATTAGTTTGCGATGTTTTTGAACCATCTTTTAATATCATTGGTGAAAAACTATTTTATAATTAATACATTTATGCAATATCATGTACTGATTAAAGTTAAACATTAAAAAATCATTAAATAATGGCTTAGTTGTATAATATTTAAACTCTGCTCTCTTAAACTAAAGACTCTGAGTTTTATTTCCAATAAAATTATAGTCCCTTTACTATTGAATGGTAACTGTCGATTACTTTCTAATTGTTAATGATCATCTAAGATAATTGTTATTTCTTAGCGAAGATTGAATTACGAATAGCTTCTGTGACCTATTAATAGACTAATATTATCTATATATTCTTAGGATATAACTATTCAGTAATTAGATTATGTATATCTATATTTTCCTTATTATAAGCTTCATTTTGATCTATGGATTACTATGATACGACTTATTGTTCTTAAGTTATGTTCAGTCTATTAACTACTGTCTCCTACGTTCACAGACACATTTTGGCTTTATTATGTATAAATGTTATTTCCTATTTTTATGTTGTGTTGCGGTCTGTTTAGTTGATATATAAACCCCAGCATGTCTGAAATAAATGATTCGCATAATGGAAGCTGTTATTAGCATTCTGAACTCAACAGGACGGGCTAGATGAGCAACGGAAGGATAGAATGCTAGGCTGATCATATTGAACGAACATCATTGGTTTAGTACAGTAGTAAAATTGAATAAGTCGTATGTCGGTTGTCGAATAAATGACGTATTAACTAACGGATCATAATGACATAATAATAATTCTATAAAATGAAACAATCATCTAGTATTTCCAAGTTTTTTTCATAATCATCTAACTTCAATTGACTCATGATTTCAACTATTGAAATCGAATAATCATTACAAATGATCTTTAATGACTTACATTTTTAAAGTTATTCAATCCATTCAATATTTGATCAAGTCGTTGTGTTAAATTTTTATTGATTTCAAGTTTTTCAAATAAATTAATTAATGGATTAATTGAATTGGTAATTTTATCATACATGATTAATGAATTATTGATTTGATCAATAATATCGATTAAATTAGAAATATTTCTATTGAATTGTATAAATTTTTTGATTTCATTTAAATAATTCAATAATTTTGATTTTATTGATATAAAATGAATAATTTCTTGAATAGTAGGCTAATTAATTGATAATGAAATCGAAGAAGAAGAAGAAGAACAAAAAGAAAAAAAGAAAAGAAAATACATAAAATGAAAACTTATATCAATGAATGATATACAAATGGTTACTTGTTCAATTTACTTGGTGTTGTTTATTTGATTTTTCCCATTGTTATTTACGATTGTGATTGATTAGTCCCTTGTTGATATATGTGCATCCTGTGAGGATTACCTCGATATTGTCTTAATTCACAAGCTTTTTAAGCAAGGATGGGTAGTTGCTAGGTTTAAAGCTATTACGAAGTCATTTAGTATGCGTACGGAACAAAGATTTGTGACCGAAGACCAATAAGCTAGCTATTCGATGCATTCCAGCCCAGCTAACTAAAGGAAGAAGTTCAAGCTTGCGTTGGGGAAGTACATTATGCAAACTGCCAGAAACGAGCGACAACAAACACAAATCAAAACGTATATACACAGCACAAAATCGTCCTTGGGGAGAGTTACCAAATAGCATACTAAAAGATGCAATAGACCAATAGCACTTAAGATATTTCCAAAGTTGGGAATACGACATAAAAGTGATAAGGGAGCTTTTGGCGCGAAAACCAAGAAATTTTAATTTTCTAAATAAAATTACAAAATTATATCCTTTTCCAAGTGAGCTCTGAGGATCTAACGTCCCCAACAGTAGTGGACAACAGTCGAATTCAGGACGCGCGTTTCGTCCTATTTGGGACTTATCATCTGAATATACCTGCATCTCAGAGTTGGTGTTCACCCAGGTACTCAAACTCAGTGCCGTTCACTTCAAACGACATCACGTTATTCGCTTAGCTACTAAATTCTGATAACTACTTGCTTGTGCAATGGAGTGGTTTTAAATTCACTTGTTGTTTTTTACTTGAATCTTTACACCTATGTTTAGGACTGCAATTGATAAGTCTCTTATCGGTTGCAGTCCGAGACTGAAAATTAACTCTGCGATCCAGATGCATCCAGGTTACGAGTCCCAAATAGAACGAAACGCGCATCCTCGATTCCACTGCTAGCCATCATCTAAATAAATACAATAATGCAAGTAAATGTGATGTATGGGAAAATATTATGGGACATTGATAATGTCTATAAACAATTAACTACGCAATACATAAACGTTATTGACAAACAAAAATAGAATGACGTAAAACTCAGTTAATTGAAAACAAAATTATTAAACTATAAGAATTTAAATGGTGACATAAGGATATCATAGAATTCATGTTGTTAATGTAAGGAAATACTGATGACAGTTTTCACTTGCCGACACAAGTCAGGTTTTTGATATATATATATATATATATATATATATATATATAGATATATATATATATATATATAGTCCTCGTAGCTTTAGTAAAATTCTGAGTAATAGGAGTTTGTTGTTGAATAATCACTCTAAGAGCTTTAAAGTAATAAGTAATTTCATATGTCCAGATGATGGTAATGAATTACGCTACTCAACATCCCTAGGTTTCTCAACCAAAGGATTCTTTGTACATGTTCCCTTGATGAATTGTTATTTTGGCTCTAGGGTTAATTCTAATTAATACGACGTTGAGCTTTCACTTGTCTCTACCAGTATCATTATCACTTTTGAAGTGGAACAGTAAAACGATAGGAATGAACGTTTGTAGATGCCAGTTGTCGCTCAGTCACTTTTTAATGTTCTATATGATTTGTTCGTTCTGATATGAAATGAATCCGTGTTATCCTGCGCAAATATTTTTTTCTTCTTTACACTAAAAATTGATTCTAATGAAGATTTATTTTAAAATTTCAACTAAAGTCTTTTCATCATGGCATATTCCTTTTACCAGATGCCTTTATTAAAGGATTTAACAACCTTACTAAGGGATTTCCAACCTAATTACAGCGTTGTGAACTTTATTGATCCAGTGTAAAGATAATTGCAAATTTAGTCTCATGTACGGCAATTAAATAATAGCAAGATAAAAAAAGACACCCTTTTAATACTCCAGTCAATCTCGAATGATTTTGAAGCTGATTTCATTTCGTGAATAAAACTGCTATTATATAAGTAGTCATTTGTCCATTCAACTCTGTATTTCTATGTTACACAACCATATATATCTCTCTAGTGACTGTTTAGTTTATTGTCCGGTTTTTGATGAGACTGTATTATAAAGATGAGCTTGAAATAATCGTTATGTATTTTAAGTCAGTTCTTAACCAATCACGAGACAGTTTACAAAAATGGATAGATTATCGGAAAGAAAACAATAATACGATAGAATTGGTCAATACATTAAAGTCTTCTACAAGTTACTCTGTTTATAAGTCGATAAAATAATTATGCTTATATGAAGAAATACGTACATCAGCCATCTAAAACTCTTGCAATGATCCAATTAGATTTCAAGATTATGTTCAAATGTTTAGGGTTAGGAATTGAAGATAGTGACAATGAATGTGATATACAATCTACAGCGAAAGAGCTAAGCATTTGATATCTTCAAGACCATCATTTTCATAATGTTGTTGCGAAAAAAAATAATATTTACTATTATTTTAAACATTCTGAGTACTGTATAGAAATACTATTAATGTACATTACGTATAATATTTGAGTTTCACACAAAATCTTAAAAGTTACATTTTTGATTCTAATTGACCCATCCTTATACAATTATTTCACGATTTTTTTATATCATTTTTTAATTATTTATTTTAACACATAGATATTGGTACAAGAAGGCACCAATTACATATGCGCCACACAAATCTCAATTAATATGTGTGAGGGCTGTGATACTGCCCTGGTGCCCAAACCGAACCAGGTAGTTTTCTTAGAGGGCCACACCCCGAACCTTCGACCTGAACGTCTGATCCACAAGGCAGTGGAGCATCGTAAGGAGATGCAGTCCCATGGTAGTCGGTGACCAACGATTGGTTCATACGCCATTTGTTCCCGCAGGATACTGTAGCCCATGTGAACAATTGGTTTGGGATCCGGTTAAAGCACCGGACATTCGCTTTTCGTCCTCTCATTTTCGTAAACAACACCGGTGTGACGAGAAGGCAGTGAGTAGGACTTCCTTGGTAGAAGCTATATAGGCGTAGCCATGTGACAGCATTTCGAGGAGAGCGGACCGTCCCTACTCTCGGCCATACCAGGGCATTTGGGGGCTTTATGTTATATTTTGTGCCCTGTGTCTTTATTAATGTATAACGTAATGATACCGCCAATTAAGGAACAGTGAATTATCGAACGAACCAATAACGCATAAAACAAGTACGAGCAATCTAGAGTCTTTATCGGTCCTGCTTACCGCCTAGCTCTGCCTGTTAAGTCCAGAACACCAATCTCAGCCTCTACAATACGAATCATGTATTTCAAACATACTGGATTCATATACCAATCAGACAGACAACATCGTACGATAAAATAGGAAACAACATTTGTACAAAATTTAGCCAAATGTGGCTGTGAATGTGGGAGATAGTAATTGATATATTAGGCATAATTCAAGAATGGTAAATCGTATAATAACAGTTCATAGATCAAAGCAAAGCTCATAATAAGAAGGACACGAATATGAATAATTTAGTTATTTAATAATTCTAAGATAAAAATATACGTATAGTATAAGTCCAGAAATAAATCCTAATAGTTACCATTCATTATTCTCATCGGGATATAACACTTTATTAAACCAATTAATTTGAACTTCAGTCTTATTTGGTTTGTGAAATAAATTATATTACCGTAAAATGATAAATTTCATCCAAATATTTAGTAAAGAAGAGAAAAGAGCAAAGTAGCATTTGTTTGTTCTGTTTATATTTTCACAATATTATATCATTCATTATCGTTGTTAAAAAACTGAAGACTATTATCAGAAAACGTTTGAGATTACTGAATTTTAGTGATATAATAAACCGATCTAACTAAGACAAGCATTGAAAACTTGGTAGCATTGAAAGACCGATTCTCGTCCTAGTAACGAACTGTTCAATGGTGGACATCCACGACCCTTCATTCGTACATCAGATCTAGAACGCATAATCTCTCCTTGAGATGTTTCACATCTAGACCACTAAGTCGGTACCAATCAACCAACCAAACTTAACAATCATCTTCTATTACCTTCATTGAGTACCAGCCTTACACCCGACTTGACTGAACTTGATCATTCACGGTTTCTTACTAGAACTCCAGGAATTTTCTCTCAAAGTTAATCACTATTGAGCAAATTATAACAGTCAGTATGAGGTTATGAAAATTGCTGAGTTTTAATAAATAAAATGGTTTAGTAAACAATATTTGAATCTTGATGATTTGACAGATTGATGAGATGATGACTGAAAATGAGTCAAGGTTTATCTCGTAGTAGAAAACAATACACAAATGTGGCATATGTCTATTACACTCCTATTTTCAAAGGAACCCAAACTATGATTAAACTGAAATGATTAACTTCTAAGGATTAAAGTGATCTCATAAAAATCATTTTTCAGATCATTTTATTATCAAGTAAGAAATTTAAACAACTATTAATCCGCTTGGTAACTCATTGCAAATACATCTCAGTTGTTTATTTCATCAGAAAAATTGTAAACTATTTTCAATGTATAAGAAGATAATTAAAATACAAACTTGACAATAAGTAACTTTATCAATGTTTGAAAGGATAATTTTAACTAAATTAAGTACTGAATTGATTGCTAACAACAGAATTCAGTTACTTACTCTTTAAAGTCATGAAAAATTAAAACAATTCAATTTAATTAAGATATTATAAATGTATCCTTATATTTAAACTATAAAAGTACTTAGAAAATAAGGTTTTGTACTAAATGGAGGAATTCATAGAATATAAAGTTTGATTATCACGCTATAAAAAGAAAGAATCTATTTACTGTAAAAGTGTTAATTAACTCATCAGATGAGAAATATTTGTAAGACTATAATTTATGGATAATCTTTGAGCGACGTTAAAGTGACCTTGAAAATATCAATCTACTTACTAGGACTAAATGAAGGTTATACCATAATTTATATAAGTCTACTCACAAACAAAAGGATACTTATGATCCACATCAAAACGGTTATCACTTGAAAACTGAGGCCATGTTTTCTGATAGTCTGAACCACTTGTAACCCAGTTTACTTCTGAAGTATTACAATAAGAAATATTCTTTCATGGGGAGAAAAACTATCAGTTGACAACTTCCCACATGTCTCTATCATTACTCAATATTACTAACAATTGAAATAGATTTATTCAATTATCATGTACTCACTAGTGATTAGCTTCGTGAGGGAATTCTTAAAGTTCTAGCGAGAAGCCGTGATCAGTGGAATTAATCCGTGTTGGGTTAAGAAAGGTATCTACCTCAGTAAAATGGAAGATGATCGCGCGATTTCATGGAATGGTTAAGGTTAGACATTAACGCCGATGGATTTCAGTCTGCTCAATGGTCTAGAGGTTCGCGCGCGAGACCGAAGGCCCTGGGATGGTGGTTGCGCACTTCTGAGGAGTCCCACAATAGGACAGTGGGACAGTGGACAGTGCTTCCAGGTTTTCAATGTTGGTTTGACATCAATTAGTTCATGATCTCAATCAAAAACTTAATAATCTCTACAGCCCTATCATGATTATTCAATTATTGTAAAGAAATACATAGAGAAAGAACAAATCATTAAGATCAGGCATTCATAATAATAACTTACTTTATAGTCTTTACCATCTAGATAAACAGATAATTTTCTAGCAATAGATGTTAAACTATCCAAATCAGACGGAATGAATTTCGCAAGGTCCATATTAATGATTTTATTTATAGTTGAGCTATTTAAAAAACAAAGTTCACAAACTAAAAAATGAATAAAGAATGGATGACAATTAAATTAAAAGTTGTCACATATCTAAACAATGTAATAACTCGATATTTCATTGATTGCAGGTATATTATCTAATGAAGATGTGAAGGCATAGACTAGGAAGGCATGAGCAGTTTTCCTACAACAAAAGAACATATGGAACTCAAATCAACTATCAACCAACATCAGTCATATTCTTTATTACAAACTTCAAGTCAATTCTTCTGTATGGAGTTAAAACTTGAAGAAGTACCATTACCATAATCAAAACGTACAAGTATTTATTAATACTTGTTTACGCGAGGTATTCAATATCCGTTGACCGGATACCATCAGTAACAACTTTGTATGTGAGAGAACAAACCAGCTTCCGGTTAAAGAGGAAATTACAAAAAGATGTTGAAGGCGGATAGGACATATACTGAGGAAATCATTCAACTACAACACAAAACAAGCATTAACTTGTAATCTTGAAAGGAAAATGATGAAAGGCAAACCACCGAACACATTGCGTCGGGGAGCAGACATTGAAAGAATGAACAGCTCTCGTTAACAAATGGAAATTAGAGGCCAGGACAGTTGGTTGGGGAATGGCGGTTGGTGGTCTATGCTACTCCATTCTAAACTTATAAATTTTTACTCTTCGAAAAAATTAGTTTCTATTCATTTAAAAAAAACTAATAAGTACTTGTAAATATCTTCCTATTAAATCAAATTTCGCTTGCTACCTAAAGTTTGATACTACTCTTTCATTTATGTACAAGTTTTTATAAACAACTGTCCACACAAGATAATCAATGTCTGTTGTTCGGATACCATCAGCAACAGCTTACTATAAAAGAGAACAAACCAAATTTCAATTGAAAAGGAGATTAGGAAAAAAACTATGGAAGTTGGTAGAATGTATTTTGAAGAAATCATCAAACTGTATCATGAAGCTACTGTTAAGTTGGAATCTCGAAGAGAAACGAAAAACAGGAAGGCCAAAGAACACACTATGCCGGGAATCGGAAGTAGACATGAAAATAGTAAATAGCAACTGGGATCAACTGGAAAGAATTGTCTAGGAGATAATCGGATGGAAACTGCTAGTGAGCGGTCTATCCTCCTCCATGATTGGTAACAGACGTAAGTAAAGTTAGTAAATAACTCTTTCATTTACACATTTATGAAATACCATAGTGTCAAGATTTTGAAAAAGATGACAGGAAATACTGGACCCAAGTTTCATGTTATTTAGCATCTGTAATCTTGAAGGAATTAATGCTCTCTGGCCGATACGCTCTGGTGTTGATCAGCCTCATTGTTTTAAACTTTACTACTGAACTGGACTGTAATATCTTCCATTGATTAATTATTGAATAGTAACAAATGTTTTTGATTGAGATCATAAATTGACTGATGTTAGATCATCAATGAAAACTTTGAAGCATCGAACGGTCGTTTCGTCCTATTTTGGGACTCCTTAACAGTGAACATCCACGATCTCGCCCCACGAGATTCTAACCCAAGGCCTTCGGTTTTACGGGCGAACGTTTAACTTGTTGACCATTAAGCAAACGGACATCCAACGGTGTTAGTGTTTAAGTTCAACCAATCCATAAAATTGTACCATCATCTTCCGTTTTACTGAGGTAGTTACCTTTCTCAACCCTACACGGATTAACTCCACTGATCACGGCTTCTCACTAGAACTTTAAGAATGCCTTCACGGAGCTAATCATTAGTGGGCATATGATGATTATTATCATTATAAGGTTATAAAGATTATTAAGTTTTTGACTGACATCATGAAACGTTTGATGTTAAACCACGATTAAAAACTTGAAAGTACTGAATGACCGTTTCATCCTATTGTGAAACTCTTCATCAATACACATTTACATCAATCAATTCATGATCTTAATCAAAAACATAATAATCTCTACAAACCCATACTAATAATAATCAATATCAATTAAAATAACAATAATAAATCAATATTCAATAATCAAATATTTTTTAAATAAGAAGTATCAGAACATAATTAAAATTATCACATACATTTCTGCATCTTTAATTTTCTCTTGAATTATTGATGAATATAAAATTTTATCAAAATTAATTATTTGACTATAATTAAGTAATTTTAATAAATTATAATTACGATATGTCTGATCATCATTATTATTACTATTAGTAGTATTAATAGTAGTATTGTTAGTAGTATTAGTAGTGGTAGTATTATTAGTAGTATGAGCAGTAGTAGTAGTAGTATTCAGATCATTATTATTATTATTATACATCATAGGTTGACATTTATTACGTATTGTTGAATAAATATGTTTTGGTGGTAATAAATTAATATAATTTAATAAATCATTTGATAATAATGTAAAATTATGTAACATACTATATGACCATTGATATTGTATATATAAATCAATAATGAAATCAGTAATCAATATACCAGAATCAGTATTGATATAACGACATAATTCTGTATCGAATAATAATAATAATGGTAAAATAATATATAGAATGGATAGAATTATACTACAGAATATACTGATTATTAATGATAATATAATTAGATATTTAATATGTTTATGATTAATAATATGAGGTAAATATATAGAACGATTTAATTGTAGAAGAAATAATTTCTTATGAAATTCTCCTTGAATTTGAAGAGTAAATAATTTAGATGAATCATCTAAAATAAAGTTGGAAAGAAGAAAGAAAAAGAAAACAAAAAGAAAAACAACAATGAAGAAAGAAATATAAATAAAATAATACATGATTATTAAAGTTATTCATGATATATAATTCAGTATAATTAATTGATTGATTAATTAAGATCTTGTTAGATTCCGATAAGCATAATGAATGGTAACTAGAGATCCATTTATGGACCAACACTGTGCGTATATTTTTATCGTATAATTATTAAGTAACTAAATTATTCCTATTCAGATCTCTCTTATCATAAGATTTATTTTAATCTATGAACTGTTATTATACGATTTTCCATTCTTGAATTATTCCCTGATTATTAATCATTACCTATCTCATTCACAGATACTTTTGGTCAAATCTTGTACAAATATTGTTTCTTACTTTATGATACGACGTGGTCTGTTTGATTGGTATATAACTCCGTAGGTTTGAAATAAATGATTCATATTTTCGAGGTTGAGATTGGTGTTCAGGACTCAATTGCCTGGGCTAGGCTGGAAGCAGGATCGATACAGACTCTAGACTGTTCGTACGGGTTTTATGCATCATTGATCCGATCGATAATTCACTATTCTCTAATTGGCGTTATCATTACTTATACATTAACAGGGCACACAGGTCACAAGTTATAGCAGATCTTGGACCGATCGATGTTAGATCACCATTGAAAATCTGAAAGCATTGAACAATTTTTTCCTCCTATTGTGGGACTATACAACAGTATGCACTTCGAGGAATTTGAAATCATGTTCTTCAGTTTCATGTGCGAACATTTATCTTCTAAACCACTGAGCTGGACGGCATCTAAAGGTGTTAATGTTTAACCTTAACCGATCCGCGAAATCGCGCGATCATTTATCATTGTACTGAGATAGATACCTGTCTCTACCCGACACAGATTAGCTCACTATATATAATTAATATCAGAAATCGTTTCCTGAATATTACAGTAATTTTAATAGTTGAGATCATGAGTCAATTGAAGCTAGATCACCATAGAAAAGCTTCAATTGACTCATGATCTCAACTATTAAAATTATTATAATATCCACAAAAACCCCTTCTGATATGAATTAACATATGCTAATTAGTAACTGGTTTCAAGAGGTATTTCTTGGAGTTCTGATGAGAAGTAGTGACCAGTGGAGTTTAGCGGGGGCTGTCGTGAGATAGTAACTCAATGGTGACAATGATGGATGTGTCACTCAATTTCATGTATTAGTTGAAGTTAGAATTTAACACTGTGGTCTAGTGGTTTAGCACTCGCACGTGAGACTGATAGATCCTGTGTTCGAATCTTGTGGGGTGGGATCGTGGACGCGCACTACTGAGGAGTCTCATGATTGAACGAAACGGCTGTCCAGTGCTCTCAGGTTTTCTATGGTGGTCTAGCTTCAATGAACTCATGATCTCAACTATTGAAATATTTAATTAACTCTAATGTAAGTTTATAATTGACGCCCATATGGAAAAAAATAAATAAAGTCAGTCTGTTATAAAAACAAGCCAATCTTTACACATTGAATTTTTTTATCGAAGCAATTGAAACATTCATATTGGTGGAATTCGTCTGTGTTTCATAATGATGATATTCTAGTAGACCCCCCAAAATTTGGTAATTATGTTTTAAAAAATACATTGTTTTCTTAGAAAAAATTCAAATCATTTCAAGCGGTAAATGTAAGAATCAATTATGAGTAACTTTTTAAGTTCAGTATACTGAACTATTTTAATGTTTAGCTTTCCACAACGTACTTCACTAAAATATTCAGCAAAGTAAAAAACAAAAATATAGCATTAGCTTATTTCGATTACATGTAAGTAAATATATATGTAAATTGCTAAGGTTATCACAAGATAATTACATTATAACGGGACGAATATTGAGCAGCCTATTTACAATTAAAGAACATCTGGAACTCAAAACAACAGTCAACTGACAACACAAAAGTCAGCATTTTCAATACAAACGTCAAGACAGTTCTACTGCATGGTGCAGAAACTTGGAGAACTACGAAAGCCATCATCCAGAACATACAGGTGTCTATTAACAGTGGTCTGTGCAAAATATTTCGGATCTGTTGGCCACACACTATCACCAACAGCCTACTATGAAAGAGAACAAACCAAATCCCAGAGGACGAAGAAATCATGAAGAAGTACTGGAAGTGGATAGGACACACACATTGAGGGAAGCATCCAACTGCGTCACAAGGCATACCCTCACATGGAATCCTCAAGACCAAACGAGAAGAGGAAGACCAAAGAACACATTACACCGGGAGATAGAGATAGACATGAGAAAAATGAACAAGAACTTGATGGAACTAGAAAAGAAGGCCCAGGACAGAGTGAGTTGAAGAATGCTGGTCGGCGGCCTATGCTTCATTAGGAGTAACAGGCGTAAGTAAGTAAATAAGTAAGTAAGGGACGAATATTGAGAAAGCTAATACTTTCTGAACTATTTTTTCTGACCATTATTATCTGTAGTTTTATTATGCAACTAGTAGATAACTATATTATTATATTTCTATATTCCCCTCATTGTAGGCTTTCAGTGGCCTTATTGGCTTTTGTTATGTGTTTCACTATTCCCTAGTTATTGTTGATTAATTATATACTATTTGTGTTTAAAGTATGATTTCTTATATGGTTCACTAAGTGGTTCAGCATTTCAAGTGATATTGTTGTATGAGTTTTGAGTCATCGTGTATTAGGATCCAAGTGTTAAGTAGTTGTGTTCTATTCACAGTTACGGACAATAGAGTAAATGAATCCAAACACTTGATATTACGCTACTGTAGTAATCAACCACATATACTTGTCTAGTTCCTTCAATGTTATCAGTCACTGAGTTGTACTGAAAGGGAAAAGTGTGGTCATTTCACATAAAGTTATTATTTAATGTTGAAAAACGGTTGAAGAACATATGGAATTCAAAACAACTGTCAACCAATATCGAAGTCAGATTCTTTATTACAAACGTCAAAACAGTTCTACTGTACGGAGGTGAAACTTGAAGAAGTACTACGACCATAATCAATGAAGTATATGTATTTATTAATAATTGTCTACATAAGATACTGAAGATCCATTGGTTGGATATTATCAGCAACGACCTACTGTAAGAGAGAACAAACTTGTTACCATTTGAAGAGGAAACTAGAAAATGACGTTGTAAGTGGATAAATCATAGAGGAAGATCAAAGAACACACTGTGTTGGCAATCGGAAGCACACATGAAAAGGATGAATAGCAAGTGGAAACAACTGGAAAGGATTATCCAGGACAGAGTAGGATGGAGAATGCTGTCAAGCGACCTATCCTCCTCCACTGGGGATAATAGGTGTAAGCAAGTAAGTAAGTATGATTTAATATCGTTCTGATGTCAGACAAAAGTGAAATGTTATTGGTTAAAAAATGTCAATATCATTTAAAATTGGTTATCTAAAAAAAGCAATACTTTGCATGAACTAACAGATTCTCTTCTTAAGAAGTCAACATAAAGAGATTATTCTTTAATGCAATATATGATTTTATCAGAAAGTTACTTTTAAAAAATGAACTACCAGGTTGACAATTAAAATCAGTTTACAGTCCATAGTTTATATTAGAACCAAATCATCCAATAGTGTACTATTGTGGTGTATGCTACTGATGTCGATAGATTTAAGTAGTATATGTCATCAAACGAAAGTGAAATGCTTAAAGGTAGAAGTTTAAGAAGATCAAAGAAAAGAGCATGAGAACAAAGAATGAATGGTGCAGAAACGAAAGAACAATAAAGTCTGAGACCATTGAAGTATTTACTGCATAGTTTTACTAAGATGTTCTGTAATTTTGTATTCAAATAATATTTGGTTGTCCCCGAATATGTTCTCTTTCACTACTCGATGTGGAAAATCCTATATTAACAAGATACCCTATTAATTGTGTAAATTACTATAATCTCTAAAAATATTAATTTAAGTTTTTAAGATGTTATTCATTTGGAATACTTTTTTGAAAATCATTCATACAAAAACTTATTAACAAAAGGAATGATTTAATATCACTGGTTGAAATCATGAGTCATTTGAAGCTAGACCACCATTTAGAACTTGGAAGCACTGGATGGCCGTTTTGTCCTATTGTGGGACTCACCAGCAGTGCACACTCACGATCCCGCATCGCAAGACTCGAACCCGGGACCTATCAGTCTCGCGCCAGAAGCTTAACCCACTAGACCACTGAGCAGACTGACATCCAACGGTGTTAATATCTAACACCAACCAATCCACAAAGTTGCACCACCGTACACCATTGTCTTCAAGGAGTTGATGTCCCACAACAGACCTGGTTGAACTCCACTGGTAACGGCTTCTCACTAGAATTCCAAGAGTATCTCTTAAAGTCAGTCATTAGTGAGCAGATGAAGGGTTTTGTGGTGATTTTTTAGAAATTTCATTAATGATTTCAACCAGTGAAATTTCTAAAAATTTCCACCAAACCCTTTCTGAAATAATTTAATAGTTGAGTTTATGAGTAAATTAAATTTATACCATCATGAAAAACCTAGAAGAACTGAATAGCTGTTTCATTCTAGTATAGGACTCCTTAGTATTATGCATTCATTACCCCGCTTATAGAATTCGAACCTACAACCCAGTAGTCTCACATGACAGCTCTTAACCTTTAGACCATTAAGCTGTCATTCAATAGTGTTAATGTCTATCTTAAACTAATCCATGAAATACACACTGTTTAAGAGTCCCATACAGCTGTCCATTACTTCCAGATTTTCCATAATCATCTAGCTTTAATTGATTCATGTATTCAACTATTAAAATGACGATAATCTCTACAAAAAAAAAACCCTCGCTAATAAATAACAAAACATATAATATCTAAATATTGAAAAAATAAACAAAACCAACAAACTTACATTTTATATCATTTTGTTTAGTAAATAAATTTCTATTATATATATCAACTATATAAAGTATACAATAAATTAATAATAATGTAATTAATATTAATATAAATGTAATAATTACATAACCAATTATAGATACAATATAACTAATTAATTGCAAATAATTATCGATTTCTTGTTGTTTATTTATAGTTAAATATGAATTTAATTTATCAACAATATTTTGTTGTAATAATATCCATATAGATGTAAATATATTCAAATAATAATCCAAATTAAATGTTGATTTCATCTAAAACCATAAAATAGAAGAGAGAAAACATGAGATCAATGAAATCAATGTCATGTTTATAAGTAATGATAGATATTGGTTAGTAATGAAATTTAGAATGTGTGTTTCGTCTTATTTGAGACTTATCAGCTAGATGTATCTGCATTTTATAGTTGATATTTATTCTAGGATTAAGTGAATTTAAACTTCATACCATTGTATATGCATTTGATTATCAGGATTCAGTAGTTAAGTGGATAACGTGATGATGTTTAAAGCAAACGGTACTGGGTTTGTATCTCAGATTAAACATCAACTATGAGATGTAGATACATTCAGGTGACGAGTGTCAAATAGGATTCCACTTTTAGCCACTATCTATCTTTGCTTATAAAGCTTATGAATTAAGGTAATATCAAGATAATACACACAGTATACACATATGCCAATAAGTGACTGATCAACTGCAGTCTTAAGCATCAATTAGACGATTCAAGTAAACAATACCAAATGAATTTATTGTTAAGTTTCTTTCAAAAAAAAAAATTAAAAAAAATTATCATTTTTCTTTAGTGTAGAATAATTTATGATTGATTATTTCGTTTTGTGTATTTGTGATTCAAATAAACAATACAATAACAGTGTATATCTTATATAAGATTGTACAGTTGAAGAAGCTTATCTAGAAAACTATAAAAATTAAGATTGATACAAGTTTATACTCATTATTAAACATGATTATAAGAAGATAAATATAAATTATCCAGATAAATAGTTAGTAATGAAAATGGAATAATCTGCATTGTTAGAAAAGATAGTTTATAATGGCCCGGGATCTGACTCCGATTTGATTGTATGAATGATTGTTATTGATATATATATATATATATATATATATATATATATATATATATATATATATATATATATATATATGTCACCTATCCTCGTATATAATCAATGACTTAAAATGCGTTAGTCAATAATGGAATTAAATGAGTCAAATAACGAGAATGGACTTTTGGATGCATATATTTTGTATATGAAGCGAATGGAATAGAGTGAAGCGAAACAATGCTCAGTGGAGATGGCGAGTTAGCCAACTCCCCTTTTAACCAAGCATTAATCAATATTTATAGTCACATAAAAATAAGTTACAGACATTTGATAAGTAATGGGATAAGAAGTGTACATACACCTACGTGCTCATATAAAAACAGTCAAGGTTGATAAGTGAATAATTAACAAGGTCAAAAAATAACTCAAGTAGAATGAATAGATTGAGCTGTCCGAAAGCTCGAATAAGGTATATGGGCTTAACATAATAACCGACACTACAAGTTCGTCTATAAGATACGATATGAATCGATCAAGTCACTGACTAGTGATTTATGTTCTATTAGAAGGTGACAAGCTCTTAGTTGACACTTACTTACGCCTATTACTTTTCAGGAAGGAGGACAGACAGTCCGCCAGTATTTTTCATCCAAATCTGTCCTGGACAATCTCTTCCAGTTGCTATTTATCTTTTTCATGTCTGCCACCAATCCTCGATCCAGAATGTTATTTGGCTTTCCTCGTTTCCATTCCCTACCTAAGGATTTCAAGTTATCAATCTGATGATTTCCGCAATGTATAGTTGACACATTATTGTTAATTTATATAATTTTCAATCTCAACGACCGAAATGGATTTATTTATTGTTTTCTTATGAATTTTTTAAATGGTTCCATTTTTAAATATGATTTCTGTGTTTTCTACAATTTTATTGATTTTTTTTACTTTCTACATTAATACTGAACCCTATGTTGTTTATAACTAATCGAAAGGGATATTCATTTTTTTTAGGGGCAATAATGAATAAGTGTGTTGATAAACTAATCTATATGTAATCTATCTTCAGTGAAATAGAATTGATTACATAATGACGATTAACTTTTCTAATGTACTTTTACAAAAGAATATAAAGCAGTATTTAAGTGACATAAGAATTTTAGTGAATGAGAAGCTAAAGGAAGTAATTGAAATAATGCGATTGAGAAGAAGACTAATTTTTACAGATTGCTTTCAATGATATTGATGTTATTAGATTAATCAATCATATAATTAAAACACCTTAAAAGGTTACCACTGTATCGGTAAGACTATTTATATAACATAAAATAAACTGTTTCCTAAGATAAATAAAATCTGGTAAATTTTCTCTTTTGAAAACCATATATCTTAAGAAAATAAAGAAAAGAGTACATGTTTACATTTCATAACCATAGTCTAAAAGAACTTGATAATAAACGTTGTTACAGCTCTAAACGGTAGATTGAAACTGAAGGCCCTGGGTTTGAATCCCGCGAGCAGGATCATAGATAAGCACTGGTAAGGAGTCCCACAATAATACGAAACGACCGTCCAGTGCTTTCAAGTTTTCAATAGTAGTCTAACATCAATCGGTTCATGATCTCGATCAAAAACTTAACAATCTCCAAAATCCCTAAACTGATAGATAACATTATTATTGATACTTTTAGAACAATTAATCAACAAAACAATACAAGTTTATTACTTTTCCTTGAAACAGAAATCATGTATTCATTCTAGAAGAAATAGTTTTCCATTTATTACTGACTTAATTAAATGATATTTACAGTTTTTCCTACCCCCACCCCCCATCCCAAGTATTATAAATATTACATTATTGGAATCTTCTTTTTGTTAATTGATCATTTCGCTGATATTAAATACTATACTGATAGCCTTAAAAAAAAAGGAAGTAACTAATCAAAATAAAGATAACAATTATTGACTGAATTACCGATATCTTGTAACTAGATATTACTTTTTTGATGTGATTTTGCATTTTAACTAAGCTGTATAATGATATGATCAAAGATCATCTCCATATTGTTGGACTATTGAGAAAAAATACCTAAAGTATTTAGTTGTTGTCAGGAAATGACGTGAAGAGAAGTCACCATGTTCATAGATGAGAATGTTTTAGAAGTGTTAGAGTTAGGCTAAAACATTTACATATTAGCGTTTAAAAACTCTACATTCATTTTAATTTTAATTTTATTCCGTGATATTGATTTCATTGAGTTTAACAGTCGATCTAAGCTAGATCACCATCGACAACTTGGAAACACTGGACGGACGTTTTATTCTAGTAAGAGACTCCTCAGCGGTGCGTTTCAATGACCCTAGGTTCGAATTGCACATGTATGATCATAGATGTGAACTGCTGATGATGCTCCTACTAAAATAAAACGACCGTCAAAAGCTTCTACGTTTTTAATGATGGTCTAGCATTGACCACTTCATGATCTCTATAAAAACTCAACTATCTCCGCAATCCAATGTTTATATCCATTTACGTTAACAATTTTATATCTGATTGATTGATCATTTAGATCCACTCGAGGCTGTCAGTATAGTTTTGTTCCCTTAAATCACCATACTTTTTTAAATCAGTAAATTTCACACATTAAATTTTTAAAACTTTTGTGAATTCTTGAAATTACTTTGAGAACACTGCTTGCATTTTACAATTCATATTTTCTTGTTTTATTAAAATCAGTATCCCAGATTGATTGGACAAAGGTTTTAGTGTAGATTTAGTTTGTAAACATGATATATTCATTGAGAATTTTTTTTATCTTGATTTTTAACTAAATAGCCTTGTTGATAAAACATTGTTGGAATTAGTTGGGTTTCAGTTACTGAGATTAAATTAAATATAATATTAACCATGTATGACATCATATATCTTATGATTATTATGATAGATATGTTATTAATGTTCAACTACTAAATTAGTTAAAGTTAGACATTAACACTGTTGGATTCTAGCCAGCTCAGTAGTTTAGAGCTTAAGCGTTCGCGCACGAGATTGATAGGTCCTAGGTTGGAATCTCGCTGGGCAAGGGGTCATACGAGGGCACTGTTGAGGAGTTCGACAATATAACGAAACAGCCGTCCATTGCTCTTAGGTTTTTCGTGGTGGTCTAGCTTCAATTGACTCATGAATTCACTTATTAAATTACCAAATTACAAGTGCTTAATTAATCAATTAAATAATTACAAAATATATGTTCTAGTGAAGAGAATATATTTTGTAAATAATGAAACTTATAAGTGCTTGTCATATATTGATCTCGCTTAAAATACTATTGACAACCAGTAAATAATGAATAATTGCTCTCTTCTGGTATCAGATCCTTCAGCAATAAGAAATTATGATCTCATGAATAATAGTCTAAGGTAATGCTTTCAAGTTTCATAGTAAATGATTAACAATTAAAACCATTGAATTGACATGACCTAAATATCCTGAATTCGATCATTAGAAAGATTGGGGGAATACTAGAGAGAAACAGTTATCTAGTATTCGGTAATTATTAATACTTTTTAATTGAAATCAAGTGAGTGATAAATACAGCTAATCCCTACCAAATCTCTTCAAATAAAATAAGATATAGCAACTCACATACATTTGAGTTTGTTCATATTTAATTTGGTTAAGCCTATTTATTGACTTATTTAACAGATCGAGTCATTCGTGCAACAACAACAACAATAACTTATCTATACCCTTGTAATTTTATTATTGTCGCGATTGTATGAACATGTATACTTTAACATTACTTATTGCCTACTCACATATTCTTTCGGCTAGCTTTAGTGTTAGTCTTTGAAATGATTCAACACTCGTATATCATTCTTGATTTATGTATATGTGTGTAATGCAATAATAAATGTAATCAACACTTCGTTATTCATCTTTTGATTTATGCACCCTTGTGTGTGTGTGTGTGTGGTGGGGGGAGGCATTATCTAGTAACGATTATCAAGACGAATAGTATACAAAGTTTATAGAGAATGATATCGAATATTGACCGCTACAAATGATTTATTTATTCATATCAGAAGGGGTTTTTGTAGACTTTATAGTAATTTCAATAATTAAGATCATGAATTAATTGAAGTTAGACTATCATGAAAAACTTGAAAGTACTAGACGGTCATTTCATCCTATTGTTTAATTTCACAGTAATACCTATCCACAATATCGTCTTTCAAGATTTCAATCCATAACCTATCAATCTCATATGTGAGATCACTAAGTTGACCAACATCCTACTGATGAAGTTTCTCTCATTATTGTTCTTTATTCAAAATAAAAAAATATTGTTCATTGAATTATTTCTATTTATATAAAAAAACAAAAATAAAAAAATAAAAAAAAAGAAATCACTTACACTTTGAATAACTTCATCTTTTTTTATATTTAATAAATTTTGAATAATATTAAATTGATCTGTGATTGAATTTAAACTAATATTTAAATCATTCATTAAAAATACCATAATTGAACTGGATTCAAATTCAAATAATTTTGTATCAACATTAATTAATAAAATTGAATTGTTTAACTGAAAGAAAAAATCAATAAATCAATAAATAATTATTGATTAATCTATCTTGTAAAAATAATAATAATAATAATTAGGGGTTATGTGGATATTATAGTAATTTCAATAGTTGAGATCATGAGTTTGAAGATGTCATCAATATTATAAATATAAGGGGCTTTATTCGATATTATATTTTTGGTACAATATAGAATTCTCAGCACAAAGTATTTCAACAAGTTTCCCTTTCTTATTTCTTGATCAGTTCCTTGCGATAAATATTGAGTGGTCGCCAGTTAGATGTTGGCGGTTCAGGAATCGACATCTGATAAATGTATATCCTTTTCGATGCATATTGCCAGTAACCATAATGTCTCTGATTGAGCTCTTTTGTAACTTGTACAGCGAAATGTCGTAAACTATTCACAAATGCACCTGAATAGGTTCTGAGACTAATAGACATGGTAATATGTCAAAACAAACAAGAAAACACATAACTTGTTGAAATGTCCAGCTGGCAAGAACTGGTAGCCGAGATATTCAAGCAGTTAGATTATCATGGAAAAATTGGAAGCAGTAAACACTGAAGTTTAACGGGGGCTGTTGTAGGATAGTAACTCACTGATAACAATGGTTGATATGTTGCTCAATTTTGTGAATTAGTTGAAGTTAGACATTAACGTTGTTGGATACCAGCCGGCTCAGTGATCTAGTAAATAAGAGCTCGCGCGCGAGACTGATAGGTTCTTTGTTTGAATCTAGCGATGCGGGATCATGGATGCGCACTGCTTAGCAGTCCCACAATAGAAAGAAAGAGCCGTTTAGTGCTGCCAGGTTTTCTATGATGGTCTAGCTTCAATTGATACATGATCTCAACTATTGAAATAATAATATTTATTGAATTTATGAATTGTTTTATGCTTGATCATTCTTTGAAAATCTGAAAGCACTTGATAACTATTTCGTCTTAATAGGAGATTATACAGAAATGTACATCCGAGGTCACCGATCTAATTTAAGTGGATTCATGAATTCGATTAATGAAAAAAAACTGCAATTTCTACAAATCCCTGTTCTGATAACAATGTGTTTTAACAGTAACAGATTTATGTAAGGCAGATGTAAAGGCGCCGGTCAGTAATGCAAGTACAGCATATCTGCAATTGAAGAACATCTGGAACTTAAAACAACTATCAACTGACAACACAAAAGTCATAATTTTCAATACAAACGTCAAGACGGTTCTACTGCATGGTGCAGAAACTTGGAGAACTACGAAAGCCATCATCCAGAAGATACAGGTGTTTATTAACAGTTGTCTACGTAAGGTACTTCGGATCAGTTGACCAGACACTGTTGACAACAACCTACTATGAAAGAGAACAAACCAAATCCCAGCGGACGAAGAAATCATGAAGAAGAAGTACTGGAAGTGGATAGGACATATATTAGGGAGAGCACCCGACTATGTCACAAGGCATGACCTCACTTCGAATCCTCAAGACCGAAGGAGGGGACGAAAGCCAAAGAACACATTATACCACGAAATCAAGATAGACGTGAGAAGAATGAACAAGAATTGGATAGAACTAGAAAGGAAGGCCCAGGACCGAAAGGGGTGGAGAATGCTGATCAGCGGCCTATCCTCCACTGGGGATAGAAGACGTAAGTAAGTAATTTATATATATATATATATATATATATATATATATATATATATATATATATATATATATATAGATACAAGAGCATTTAGTCAACTGTGGACATATCGGTCCAAAGGAGTCTTTTGTTAAAGTAATCTACAGAATCAAAAGGATTGGATCGAAGGTATATTGAGTCAATATTTTATGGATTACTGAAGCATCAGCAATACACGAACTCAAGCTTGGACTTTACGTGCAAAAACTATTCGTCCAACCTCTCATTCTTCTTTGGTCCTAATGCTCTTTATTGGTATGTTTTGGGTTTTATTCTTTTCTTTTTCACTTTTATTTGATTATTATTGAATTTTCTTTAAAATTATCATTTTTCAATTTTAAACTTTGATCGTGGATGCGCACTGATGAGGAGTCTCACAATAGGGCAATACAGCCGTCTAGTGCTTTCAGGTTTTTTATGGTGATCTAGCTTTAATTGACTATCAAATATTGAAAAAAACTCTAGTCAGTTATTATTATGACTTTTATGTTTGTCGTTTTTCTTCATATTTGTCAATTGGACTATTATCTGACCCATAAATTATTTCCTTCCCTACCATTGGATTAGTGCGTAACCTCATTTGATATTTAGTCTCGATTCAATTTACGATGTAATATATATATATATATATATATATATATATATATATCTTTGATAATCAAGAAGCAGTAAACATCAGTTTTATCTCAGTACTGGACACTTCTACTGTGCAATCCCTTACAACCCTTCATGGGATGAATTAAAGTGTTTTGGATCTTGTAAAAATCTCTTAACTAATGAATCGATTGAAAACATATATTCAACTTCAATCAATTTGTAGCATAACATAATTAATATACAATGTCTTTAGTAAGGAGTGTTTCACTACATAGATACTTCAAATCAACAATTTAGAACTTTTCACAAGACTTTTAGGAGTTCATCTTGAAGTAAATTACCAATGAACTGATGATAATTTCTACAAAACCACTACACCTAATTATTATATCAATCATTATAAGCAAAGATGGATGTTGGCCAGTAGTGAAATCCAGGATGTACGTTTCGTCCTATTTGGGACTCATCTGCTCAATGTACCTGAATCACAGTGTTGATATTCACTTCGGCACTCAAATAAATTTTGTATATTAATCGTTAATCCAATCATTAAATCAATGATAAGAAATGATTGACAATTCAGTGAACAACTAATATTGCTCAGTAAATTCATTTTAGCTTGCCTCTTTAATCAATACATAAAGATCTTAAACCATATCATTCTAAAACAATTGAATTGTGTATCATCATTAAAACCTTTTGTAGAATAAGTAACATTTAAGGTCTTAAACAAAATGATTCAATGTAAATCAAACTATCCTAATTAATTATTTTCTTGTTATTCTGTAAGATGAATAAAATAAGGAAACTGTGATCTTTGTTGGTAATCATCATAAAGTATACTGATCGTAGGTTTCACCATAGTAGGTCAACTATTCATAAAATTGGAATAAAAGGAAAACTAAATAAGTAATAATAGAACACTATAAATTTATTTCATTTCATGGTTTCTGTTGGGGTTTTCAGAAAATACCCCAGAAATTATCTAGTGCTATTCCCATTGGTCAACATTCTTCCAACGTGTTATTTCCCTATTGGTCAATATTTATTTATTTCACTTCCTGAAGGTTAAATCTTGTACAAATGTTACTTTCTATTTTATGGCACGATATAGTCTGTTTGATTGCTATATAAACAGAGTATGTTTGAACTATAATGATTTATATCTCCGAGGCTGAGACTTGTGTTATAGACTCAATTGGCTGGGCTAGACAGGGAAGCAGGATCAATCAGGACTCTAGGCTGCTCGCTCGTGTTTTATGCGTCACTGTTTCGATCGATAATAGGCTGCTCTCTAATAGGCGGATCACACGTTATAACAGTTTCCCATCAGATGATTTCATAATTTAAAAATGATAGAATTATTGAGTATACTTAAATGTACAACATCTCCGTCGGGCAATAAGCAGACATTTATAGTCTTATCGCCTTTCGGTTGATCAACATAGCATGGTAGTATATAAAGGACTATGTGTCACAGATAAAGCAAATGACATAGTAATTTACTAATCAACTACTTATAACGTTAATTTATAGTTGAGTCACCTTATGTCAATGAATTCTAGATATTTTGAATCAAACACAATTGACGTTCACTGATATATTTTTCATCTTCATTCATTAAGTACTGGAATGCTACGTCTACACTTCAATATTCAGTCAATACTTTTCAGAAATTTCATATAATTTCTCCCATTCACAAATTTGAATTGTTTAAGCAATAAATTGATATTAGCTAGATTATCATCGAAATCTGGGAGTAATGGACGATCGTTTCATCCTAATGTGAGACATCTCAACCGTGAGTATCCACAATCACTGAACTAGGAATCATTGGTTGTCTAGATAAGATTAGATCATGAATGAAACTATGAAAATCCACTAATCTCTATAATCGTCTCCTCTATACTAATAAATCTAATTATGGTTTCTCACCGAATGATTACAACCTAAACATAATAGAATTATTCGGTAAAAATCAGTATGTCTACTTTACATCATACCATTAGGAATGCTCTCCTCATTCAAGATTAATGTAGAGAGAAAGTGAAAGAAAGTTAGGGACTTAGAGAGAAAGTATAGAAGAAATATATGAAGTGTTTATGTGTATCTCCATTTGATTTGATTTGTAATCCCATATCTGTCCATGATTTTTTTGATTGGTTGATAAATTGGATCGATTTCAATAATAATATTTACGTTTACTAATTTTCAGGTGAATACCAAAGTACATACATTAAAAGAACTGAAGGCAGAGTTTATTTGTACATTTGTCAGAAATTGAAACTATGAAGTTAACATGTCTTCAAAAGTTCGATTATATCAGTTGTGGAGATTGTTGAGTTTTGATTGAGATCGTGATTCGTGAATGCGTACTGCTGAGGACCCACGTACTGGGACGAAACAGACGTTCAGTGCATCCAGGTTTTTTATTATGTCTTAACTTTGATTGATTTGTGATCTCAATCAAAACTCAACAATCTCCACAACCTTATAATTATCATATACTTACCAGTGACTAGCTTCGAGAGGTAGTTTCCAGAATTCTACTGAGTAGCTATGACTTGTGGAGCTAATCCGTATTGGGTGTGAGGCAGTTATCCACCGAAGAAAATGAAAGATAGTCACGCTATTTTGTCAATTAGTTCAAACATATATCATTTATTTGTCGATGAAAATAACGTTTAGACTTAAAAAATCACTGAAAGTTATTCATAAACAAATAACTAATGTAATGCAATTTTTCAGAAGCTTACGCCATTAAAATGTTTGAAATGGATTTATGCATTGGAAAGTGTATTACTGTTATTGATGTTTTGTTTTTATGACCGTTATTTTCTATATGTAGTCTAATAACAATTTTTTGATTACAATTAAAGATTATTTTTTTCATACTTCATAGGATCGTATCTGAACTTTATTCATTTGATAAGATTTGAGGAATACCACGGGACACATTGTGTCGGGAATCGGAAGCGGATATGGAAAGGAGGAATAACAACTAAAAAGAGTTACCCAGGATAGAATTAGATGTAGAATGTTGGTGTGCTACCTATGCTCATCCCTGAGGAGTAATAGGCGTAAGTAAGTAAGTAAATTTGCTCCTTTCAATCTCATAATCATTCCTTCTTTTTGTTGTTATAATGTAACTTTAGACATCTGTTGTTTTTCTTCATTTACTTGTCTCAATCTGTTTGTCAGAGAAATTTTCTCCCGTAACTCTCACTTGGTTAACATTGAAATATTTAACCATCTACAGATCTTTTATAATCCTTCCATACTTTCGCTCGTTCTATCTCCCTCTCTTTGAGTTAATCATCATTGAGGAGAGCATTTTTATTAGTATGTTATAAAGTAGGCACACTAATGTTTACTGAATAATTCTATTATGTTTATGTTGTATAATCATCTGATGAGAAACCATGAAATGAAATAGTCATACTGTTCTGTTGATTTTTACTTCGTACTATATTTAGACGTATTAGTATAGAGGAGACGATTATAGAGATTAGTGGATTTTCATAGTTTCATTCATGATCTAATCTTATCTAGACAACCAATGATTCCTAGTTCAGTGATTGTGGATACTCACGGTTGAGATGTCTCACATTAGGATGAAACGATCGTCCATTACTCCCAGATTTCGATGATAATTTAGCTAATATCAATTTATTGCTTAAACAATTCAAATTTGTGAATGGGAGAAATTATATGAAATTTCTGAAAAGTATTGACTGAATATTGAAGTGTAGACGTAGCATTCCAGTACTTAATGAATGAAGATGAAAAATATATCAGTGAACGTCAATTGTGTTTGATTCAAAATATCTAGAATTCATTGACATAAGGTGACTCAACTATAAATTAACGTTATAAGTAGTTGATTAGTAAATTACTATGTCATTTGCTTTATCTGTGACACATAGTCCTTTATATACTACCATGCTATGTTGATCAACCGAAAGGCGATAAGACTATAAGCATCTGCACATCGTCCGACGGAGATGTTGTACATTTAAATGTACTTAGCTTTGATGACCGTTAGGCGTTTTCCCCTAGATAACTATTACTTGAAGAGATTCTATCTTCCTTGAATGGAAGTAGTTTAGAATACGTCACCTTAAAAATAGATCAGTCAATCTTAAATCAATGACTTCGTCCCCGTACATAAAGTCTTTAAAGCACAGATATTATGCATGAATAACTTTTCACATAAGCGCCGTGTGTAATGGGTCTCAATCAGTTATATTTTAAGTTTTCCTATCACGCTCTCAGGTTCTGAAGTTCATTGTTAATCTAGTTTACTTTCCATATACCTCAATATGAGATATCCTTGTATAATGTAAACAACAGGGAAATATGACCTCTCCACACACCTTTAATAGCTCACGAGATCATCATTTTCAAGGATTAATCGATTTCTTACTTTTTAATATTGTGCTTACTATGCTATTATCAGTGTTTTGCGTTAAAATTTGTGTTAATTTGTGAATCAGTACTAATAACGTATCCTATAGCATAACAAAGCATCTCTCCAGTGCTCCCTAACTTTCAGTACTTTTAAAGTTCGTAACAAAAACAGTTTGCTCATCTTCCATAAACCACCTAATTAAAACTTGAGAACATTTTTACTTCAATTTCTATTTACTAAACGCTAATTCGATGACAATATTTGCCTAATGAAATTCACTTACTTGTAACTGTCTACATGTCACTTTTTCTATGGTATTTTCATTCAACTTTTCACATATTGAATCTAATGTTTTATTCAATATATTAGCATAACCACGTAATTCACCAATATAACTATTCACATCTTGTTGAAGTGTTTTCTGTTGTACATTAATGATTCGACTAGCTGTTACTGTTTCATTGATACTATAAGAAATCGATTCAGCTGATTTAATCACAGGTGATAATTGATATGTTTCAAGCAATGATTGGATTATCTTTTCAGTAGTTATCAATAACTGACTCTAAATGAAAGAGAAGAATGATACTCAGTTATAGAATTACATTAATAATAATTATGAAATATTTAATAATTGAATTCATGAGCCGATTTAAGCTAGACAATCACTGAAAACTTAGAAGCACTGGACGGTCGATTCGTCCTAGCATGGGGCTACTCAGCAGTACACATCCACAATTCCTCATGGGGGCGTGGTCTAGTTTAAATCGACTCATAAATTCAACTATTAAAAATTACTACAATCTCTACAAACCTCATTCTAATTATGAAATAATTTAATTGACGTTTATACTTTCATTTAGACAATTTCTACTGAGTCATGAAGCCGATTATCTAATTTAACGTGTCAATCAGTTAGCTATAAAGGGAGTAAGGCTCGGGATGAATAGGAATCAATCTACGTTGACATCATTCTTATCTCCACGACAGCAATTAAAATTTTGCTTCAAAACTGCTACATCCAGACGAAGTATTATGAGTGGTATTTGTTAGGATTTATATATGGACTGTTATTATATATATTCTTATTGTGCAACTACTAAATAACTATATTATATGTACATCCATTTCCCTTTTATTCTAAGCTCCTATTTGACCTATTGACTACCATTATACGATTTACTATACTTAAGTTATGCCCGATTTATTAATTACAGTCTCCCTTAGCCATGGCCACTTTTTGGCCTGATTTTGTGTAATTATTAATTTTAAATTTATGGTATAATGCGGTCTGGTTTGTTTGCATATAAACCCGGTATATCTAAAATATATGATTCATATAACGAAAGTTGATATTTGCGTTCTGGACTAAACCGGCTGGGTTAGGCGAGAATCTACTATCCTAAGGGACCAATAAGAACTCTAGGCTGCTCGTACAGGTTTTTGCATCATTGGTCTGATCTTATAAGTCGGTGTCTGTAACTGGCGATAGTATCTCGTGAAATATTAACAGGTCACAAGCCATAACAAAAATAATGAAAAGGTACATAATAATAATAATAATGTTTGTTAAAGTGGAACTTTGACTATCATTCTCTACAATATCTCTAGCAGCCACTTTATATAGAAGTAAGCTTTCAAGCTATTTCATAGGTGCTAAATTGGTCCTCTTCTATGGCCTTGTTGGTGATTGACTATCTTCGTAGATTTTAATCCTCATCACCATCATCATCATTTGGGTTTGGGTTCACGTTGACAATCATTGTTGGTTGACTTCTAACCTTATGACTAGTTGACCTTTACTATGTGGGTTCATAGATCGGGTCAATGTCTATTTGTCTGTTGATTATTAATTAATGTGAATTCCATGCTTTTAAGAATCCCCTAGCATTCTTTGAGTTTTGTCAGTCCCAACTTACGACGTTTTACCAAGCAAATTCGTATTCATATTTCTTAGCATGAACTGATGTTAGTGAGCATTTTTCGTTTTCCCTCACTCCCAATATATGTTGGTTTTTTGTACAAATGTAAAGCGAGCTCACTTTATCCAATGTAATATTTTTCTCAGCTGGTACAATTTATTTTGCAACTGATGTTACATTTTTAAGCAAAGATGGATAGTGACTAGCAGTCCCATTTGGGACTCGTCAGCTGGATGTACCTGAATCTCAGAGTTGATGTTCTGGGTTCGAGTCCCAAAGTGAACGCTCATCTTGGATTCCACTGCGAGGCACTATCCACCTTTCTTTAAAAAGCTCGTGACTCAAGGCTATATTGAAGCAATCCGCACAGGATGCACATATTCCAACATGAGATTGATCAATTGCAGTCCTGAATAACAATGGGAAGATACAAGTAAAACAACACCAAGTGGATTGATGTTACATTAATCTTCATTTGTTGCTATACCGTTTTTATCTTCGCATTTTTTTTTCATACTCTTCACAAATTAATATAAGAGACAAATTATAATAGAACATACACTTAATAAATACAAAACAATGCCTCTTCTCAATAGTTAAGATCAAGAGTCAATTGATGCTAGATCACTATGGAAAATTGCTTACTTACTTGCGCCTGTTACTCCTAATGAAGCATAGGCCGCCGACCAGCATTCTTCAACTCACTCTGTCCTTGGCCTTCTTTTCTAGTTCCATCCAATTCTTGTTCATTTTTCTCATATCTATCTCCATTTCTCGGTGTAATGTATTCTTTGGTCTTCCTCTCCTCCTTCGGCCTTGAGGATTCCATGTGAGGGCTTGTGTTGTGACGCGGTTCGGTGCTTTCTTCAATGTGTGTCCTATCCACTTCCAGCGCTTCTTCCTGATTTCTTCCTCCACTGGGATCTGATTTGTTCTCTCCCACATTAGGTTGTTGCTTATAGTGTCCGGCCAGCGGATCTGAAGTATTTTGCGTAGACAACTGTTAATAAACACCTGTATCTTCTGAATGATGGCTTTCGTAGTTCTCCATGTTCCCGCCCCATACAGTAGACTGTTTTGACATTTGTATTGAAAATCCTGATTTTAGTGTTGGTTGACAGAGAGTTGTTTTGAGTTCCAGATATTCTTCAGTTGTAAATATGCTACTGTTGCTTTGCCGATTCGCGCCTTTACATCTGCATCAGATCCACCGTGTTCATCAATGATGCTGCCCAAATACGTAAAGGTTTTTATATCTAACAAATCTTCCCCATCAATTATGATCACTATAGAAACTTAATCTCAACCATGATCTCAACTATTAAAATTACTACAATCTCTACAAACCCCCCACCTTCTGATACTAATTCCCATTATCTTTTTCTCATTAAAATAAATAAGATCAAACTTGGATTAAACTTACATCAAGTTCTTTTTCAATTATTCTAAATGTTTGATTTGTATACATTTGACCTTGTGTTATAATCTCTTGTAAATATTCAGGTAATTTATATACAACTTCATTCATTAATAAATTTCTTAATGTTTTTACAGTTTGATTTGTTGTATTATCTATGAATTTAGGTTGTAAATGTATATAACTACTATCCATTGCATAGAAACATATTATACTAAGAAATATATTAATACAAATTAAACTATAGACTATTATTTTTATAATAAAATATACTTTCAATTGTGTATGAAATTGTAATGAGTTCATCATTAATGAATTGCACTGGTATTGAGTTGGTTGTTGTATTTCATTATGATTCGTTAATGTTGATGAAATAATAGAATTTGTTGAAGATTTTTTAGATGATTGACGATTGTATATTGGATCCTATGTGTATAAAATAAATTAATTATTAGTAAAGGATTGTAAAGTTTATTGAACTTAGATTGATATCATGAATGGATCAATATTAGATCACTAGTGAAAATTTGAAAGTACTAGATTAGTGGTTTCATCTTAGTTTCATCCTAGGACCTTAGGTGTTGAGTGTGAACCCTTAACCTTTGAACTATTGAGTTGGTATCTAACGGTGTTTATGTCTAACTTCAACTAATCATGCGTGTGGGATCGTGAATGAGCACTCTTGAGGAATCCCATACTAGGATGAAACGACCGTACACTGTTTCCAAGTTTTTAATGCTGGTCTAACATTGATCCATTCATAATATCAATCTAAGTCCAAAAATAAAATAAGTGAAAAAATTCGTAATATTGGAATTGATACTATTGCGATGTAAGCTACTTACGTTGACAGATATAAGTAGTATAAAGTTGAATACCTGTCAATATAAGATTGGATTCAAGAGAATAGAAAGGGAAAAAGAGAGCAATTGGAATAACAATAGAACAGCTAGAACCATGAAGTATGTAAAGGACAACTGATGGAATATATGCAAATCATGTATTAAATGTATGATCTTCATATTTTACGAAGGTACTGTGTAATTTTGCATTAAACAATGAATTAGATTACCCCCACCTGAATTCTCGTACACTACACCAAGAATAAAGACAAGTAACTGTAATACACATGCTGATAAACTTCAGTTACTATGTTCCAAGAAAATAACTCTAGTATTTTATTAAATAATCAGTAAAATAGTGAGAATAGAAATGTTTTAAGAAGTCTGCACTCACAGTGTCTATTCAATTTTGTACAAAAAAAATTTAATACAATCCTTTTCATAAAACAAATGATTCATTCAAATAAGGCACAGTTATATTTGACTAATAATTTACTAGAATTATTGCAAATCGTTAAACGATTCTATTACTTATACAAAAATAAATTCCATAAAAGTTATTAGTATTTAAACTCTTCCTGTAGCTCTTCTAGAGTTACTGCGAGTTCCAATTTCGAGTAACGGAGGAGGGTTGGGAATGAGTTCAGCAACCCCATCCTGTAGAAAACAACCTTGCTAAAAATACCATTCAAACTCTAACCTCCAACTTGAAGGATCTTCATTTAGAAGAGTTATGACACCTCATGATGAAAGCCGAGTTCCTTCGGAAGTCATGAGGCCGGTGTCCCTTCTAACAAACATAGCAACAACTAGAACAGGTATATGGAATATCCGGATAATATGAAAGACCGGGAGGACCAGTCAAATAGCAACGGAAATGAGGAGATACAACTTGACAGTTCTCAGAATCAGCGAAACCCATCGGACCTCATCTGGATAACAAAGACTAAATACGGATGAGATGCTACTGTACTTCAGTCACGAAAAGGAAAATGCTCCACACACTCAGGGAGTTTCTCTGATGCTGTCCAAAGAAGCACGAAATGTACTTATTGAATGAGAATCTCATAGATTCATAATCATCAAAGCATCCTTCAAAACAAAGAAGGAAGAGATCACAATGAATGTTATCCAATGTTATGCACCCACCAATGACAGCAACGACGACAGTAAAGATCAGTTCTATGAGAGGCTGCAATCTATCATAGAGAAGTGCCCAAGAAATGACCTGACCATTCTGATGGGAGATCTAAACGCCAAAGTCGGAATGGACAACATCGGGTATGAATATATAATGGGATGACATGGACTGACTGGGAAAAGATGGTGAGAGATTTGTAAATTTATGTGAATCCATCAAAATGGTTATAGACACACTTTATTCCTCACAAGCGCATCTACAAAGTTACATGGGTCTAACCGGATCACGCTACAGAGAATCAGAATGATTATATTTGCATCAGCAAGAAATTCAGAAGGTCATTGGAAGATTTGAGAACCAGGAGAGGAGCTGTCATAGCTTCAGATCACCACCTGGTAGTTTCTAGGATGAAACTAAAGTTAAGGAAGCACTGGACAACTTGAGAAACAACATTATAGGGGTTTAATACAGCCTTCCGTCAAGATACTTACAAACTCAACGAGTTCAAGATAACTCTCAACAACACGTCCGAAGCCCAACAACATTTATTTATAGAAAGCACTAACTTCAACGTGTCTGGAGGTCAAGGGCCGACACAAGCATCATAATAAAAAACGGATCTCTATAGAAATCGTGGATAAGGTTCAAGAAAGGAAGAACAAGAATACAGCATCTAACAACAACCAAACAAGAACATGAGCTAAATACACTGAAGCAACAAGCAAGTGAAGAGGAGCATTAGGGTAGACAAGCAGAAATACATGGAATACCTAGCAACGACAACAGAAAAAGCTGCAAGAGAAGGAAATATGGAACGATTATGACAGAATAAGAAAGCAAGTAGGGAAATACAGTAAACCAGAGAGACCAGTCAAAGACAAGAAACTAGACAAGACAATCACTGAGATGCACGAACAAAAGAACAGACAGGTAAAATACTTTGAGGGAGTTTGAATGGGCCAACTTCAGTAGATCCGCCGGAAATCGAAGGAGCACACATAGACCTTCCTATAGATGTCAGTCCATCAACGACCGAAGAAATCAGAATGGCCATCAAACAAATCAAGAGAGAGAAAGCATCATGACCTGACAATATATCAGCTGAAGCACTGAAATCAGACATGAAAGCAATTATAATCTTGCCACGCGTTCTGTTCAGAAAGTTTGGGAAGAAGAACAATTGCCGACGGACTGGGAAGAAGGATACCTCATCAAGACACCAAAGAAAGGAGATCTGAGCAGATGAGAAAACTACAGAGGAATCACACTACTGTCAGTACCAAGGAAAGTCTTTAACAGAGTGTTGCTGGACCGGATGAAAGACGCAGAAGACGCCCAACTTCGAGTTCAACAGGCCGGATTCCATAAGGATCGTGACAATACGGATCAAAGTTGAACAATCAGTTGAGTGAAACTATACATCGATTTCCTTTACTATGAGAAGGCTCTTTGTAGTGTGGATATGAGAATCCTATAGATTCTTCGACAGTGTGATGTGTCTGAGAAAACCGTCAATGTCATCCGGAATTCATACGACGGACAACAGTGCAAAATGGTAGATAGAGGACAGTTGACAAATGTATTCTAACAGAAAGCCGGAGTCAGACAAGGTTGTTACTCTCTCCATTTCTCTTTCTTCTGATAGTTGACTGGATTATGAAGACCTCGACATCTGAGCGAAAGCACGGAATACAATGAACAGGTTGGATGCAACTAGACGATTTGGACTTCGCATATGACCTAGCCGTTCCATCCTATACGCATCAACAAATGCAGTTCAAGACAGCCAGTGTAGCAGGAGCCTCTTCAGCAATATACCTCGGCATTCACAAGGGAAAAAGCAAGATCCTCAATTACAACACGAAGAACACCAGCCCAATCACACTTGATTGAGGAACTCTGGAAGAGGTGGGAAGTTTCACGTATCTGGGTATCATACAGGTTTTCACACCGAGTCATCAATTCTGTCCTTACTACACAAATCTGAATCATCGATGAACGTGGAGGATCTGATGCAGACGTAAATGCGAGGATCGGCAAGCAAGGAAAGCATTCCTACAGTTGAAGAACATATGGAACTCAAAATAAGTATCAACCAATATCAAAGTTAGCATCTTCAATACGAACTTCAAGGCAGTTCTGCTGTATGGAGTTGAAACTTCGACAACTACTACTTCCATCATCGGAATAGTAAAAGTATGTACTAATAATTATCTACACAAGATACTCAAGATCCATTGGTCGATATGACCAGCAACAACCTACTACCGCAGAGAACAAACCAGTTTCTAACTGAAGAGGAAATTAGGAAAGGGCTATGGAGGTAGATAGGACATACATTACGAAAATCAAGGCCTAACTTGGAATCCTGAAAGAAAGTAGAGAAGAGAAAGACGAGGAGACACAATTTTCCAAGAATTGAAAGCAGATATCGAAAGGATAAATAACAACTGGAAACAACTGGAAAGAATTGCTCAGGACAGAGTTCAATGAAGAATGGTGGTAAGGGGGCCTTCACGAGAGGTTACAGGTAAGTATGTAAGCAAATATTAATATTTAACTTCAATACAAATTGTATGATTAGTGAGACAGTATGCTTTTTGATCAAAAGAAAACATATGTAAACTTGCCTGTCCAATGCGTCATTCATCTTCGAAATTTCATTTCAAAGAGAAGGATGCTTTCCATTTGAAATGACCTTAGATAGAACTACAAGTATACAAATTACGGAAATAAGAATCCTGTTACTGAATTTATTAATATGGAACCTCGATCGTTCGACATATATGGGAATATGAATAAAGACTAATAAAAAATGTGATTATTACTGCTAAATTAAGCAAGTAGGATAAAACCATTAAAAACTGTCATTTTTAAGCAGCGATGGGTGGTGGCTGGCAGTGAAGTCCATGACGCGTGTTTCGTCTTATTTGAGAGTCATCAACCGGATGTACTTGAAACCCAGAGTTGATGTTCACTCCAGAACACGAACCCAATATCGTTCGCTTCAAACTCAATCTCTGTATTCATTAAGCTACTGAGTCTAAATAAACATTAATTTGTGAAGTTTCATTCATTTTTGTATTCGTTGTTTGCAATTTATTCCACTGTTAACCACCATCCATCTCTGTGTGTAATGCTTGTGACTTAAGGAAATATCGATTCAATCCACGCAGAATACACATATACCAATAAGAAACTGATCAATTTCGATCTTAAACATCAATGAGAAGATTAAGAAAAAACATACTAAGTGATATCCCCAGTATGTTGTAATAAAATATATACTACTAACTAATAAAAGTAGCATAATTTAACAACGAAAATATTCAGGAGATGTGAACACAGTTAACCATGACATAATAAAAAGGGGGTTATAATACTAGATTACGTAATACGAATAATAACAATAGATTTAGTAAATATAATAAGATGATTAAAATGTTTTTGTTATAATACTTAAAGGTCATAGAGGTGTGAAAAATAAATAAATAAGGTAATATGATGAGTATTTACGAATAAAAACAATGAGAATATAAGACATAAGTAAAGGGGGAATGCAACATTAATAATAATAATAATAATAATAATAATAATAATAATAATAATAATAATAATAATAATAATAATAATAATAAGATTCACTTACATTAATATAAATATCTGATGAATTCACTGAAACATTTGCTTCATTTCTCAACATCCATTCAGTAGTATATCTTGACATTTCATCATCTTCTATATACTTATTTGATAAACTATCTGATCTAATATCAATCATATTAGAATGATTCATATCATTCTTATATTTTATATCTCTTAAAACTTGTGTAATTTTTAAATATTTTAAATAGTTCCATGATGATTTTCCATGAATACAATTAGGTGGATACAAGAAAATGAAATAACACATACTTAATAAAAAAGAAATAAAAATCAATAAAATTTCAATAATAATAAGTACAATAAATTTCCTAGTTACAAATAGTTTATTACTATCTATCACTGTTGTATTCATGTCATTTTGATTCATTAATAAAACATTATATACATTTATATTTTGTATGCCATCAAATAACATATGATTTAATGTAGTCCTAAAAAATGTAAAGGTATCATTAATTTCAATGAATTTTAATAATGTTATTGATTGATTATCATTTATAGATGTAATATTATTACGTAATAGACTACTATTATCAATACTATTACCAATACTACTATTACTAATACTACTGTTGATAGTAATTTGTTCAAATAAATAATTTAAAATACCGCCATCTTCAAATGGAGCCAAAATTTGTCCAAGAAATTTAAATTGATTTAATAGATCATATTGAAAATTAGTTAAATTCATTTGAAATTCAATTTTACACCTAAATCAACAGAGAAAAGAAAAGGACATATACAAAATATATAATTAATTGATTAGATCATGAACATAATCAGTAGGTTAATAATAATTGAGGTTACATATGATCAGTTACTATGAATCAAAATAACTGTATATATACACATTACATGGTGGTTGGAGTTAGTAGACATGAAACCCTGGACGCGAGTTTCGTGCTACTTGGCACTCGTCAGCCAGGTGTACCTGTAATCTTAAGGGAACCGATGCTCCCTGACGGATTAGATCCCGTGTCACCCAGGTTCACAGTCAGAGAAGTTACCACCAGGCTATCCGGGCCGTGACCGAACTTTTGTAGGACTGAGATGTAATCACAATTTATTAATCACTGGGTCGTGATCAATGTCATGTGTGTCAAGACCTTCCTAGTTCAGATCGAATGTTGTCGACCATGGAGATCGGTAGCGGCCCGAATAGCTCAGTGGTAACGTCTGTGACTGTGAAATTGAGTGACACGGGATCAAATCCGTCAGGGGAAGTATTAGTTCCCTCAAGATTACAGGTATACCTTGCTGACGAGTGCCAAGTAGCGCGAAACCCGCGTCCAGGGTTTCCTGTTGACTACCTCCAACCACCATTTAATCTCAACATAGTGCACACAGTGTGGACCCACCTAGACTGGTGACCACAGTGCAACATGATCGATAGTATTAGATCTGCACTAAGAAGGACTTGGCACACATGACATTGATCACCACCCAGTGATCAATCAATTGTGATATATATTAAAATGTTTAGATTTAGGATAGTACAATTTACCTTTGAGTAATACCATTTATAAAATGTTTGGTGTATGTGTGTGTGAGTAAACAAATTTTGACAGTTAAATAGTTTTATGTTGAAAACAGTCGATGATTTCTGTAGTTCAGATATTTATAATTTAACCATTACACCATAAGTTTAAAAATATGTTTTACAAAGGTTTTATTTACAGTCTAGATTGTCAATTATATACTTAAACAAAATGAATTTCTATAGTGAAATTTTCTTTGTTTTTGGACTGATTGTCTAGATGAAATCGAAATATCGTAAAACAAAATTTTAATTTCTGGATTGTTTTCTTTTACTACTTATATATATTTATTATTAGTACAGTGGATAGGACACATATTGAGGTAAGCACCCAATAAGGCTAGCCTTTACTTGGGATCCTCAAGGTGAAGGGAGGAGATAAAGATCAAAGAACACATTATGTAGAGAAATGGAGACGGACATAAGAAGAATGAACAAAAATTGGATAGAACTAGAAGGGAAGATCCAGAACAGAGTGGGTTGGAGGATGCTGATTGGCAACCTATGTTCCATTGGAGATAATAGGCATAAGTAAGTAAGTAATAGTTCAGTAAGATGAAATGAAATATATAGCCTAAGTATGTAGGTATTTAAAAGAAACTATCAAGAAAATGATGAACTTGTGTTTCTTTTTATAGTTTTCTTTCTTAATACCAATGAATTCTTGAATAAATCTATGTGGTTTATATTCAAACCAACAACTTTAGATGTAATGGAAATTTAAAATTTGACTCATAATGGTTATTGCAAATAACTGCGTTTCTCAACACTGTAGTTCTGATTCATTAAATTATTCTCCTGACAGTAACCTATACTTTACCACAGAAGTAGAGTTATTTTTTCAGTGGAAAAAAAACACTATGTTGGCTAGCTAAGGAATCAAAGACGCAGTTTCCTTTTTATTTGGGACCTGTTAACCGAATGTACCTGAATCCCCAGAATTGATGTTCAAACTTGATCCTGAGCTACAAGCTTCCTACATTTAAGATCAAACCGGAGGCTTGACTAAGAAGGAAGGTTTGTTGACTAAAACCTAATCGCGAATATTTATACACTCAGTCATATATATATATATATATATATATATATATATATATATATATATATATATATATATATATATATATATATATATATATTCTTAAAAAGGTCAAGTCAATTTTCAACGAATAGTATGAACCGATCTTCTGCTTTATATGTAACTGCCTCAGTGTATCTCCTTTCGCAAATGAAAAATGCTCAATCTGATTTCGTGAGTTCATATTCACGACTTGAGATAGGGTTGCATCACCTGCAATTTAGTACACCTCTGTTTATTCGATGAGTAAGTATGAATTATCTGATTCTTAAAACTTTTGGAACAATTAATGCTAAAATAAGTATCTATTTTCTAGCACGAATTCTAACCAACAAGTAGGCACTTGACTTGGCTTTCACGATATTAAGTAAGTAGAGTACTTTGAACTACTGAAGCAAAATCACAAGTGACATTTAAGCAAACTATTGATAGAGGGACAGTTACCAAGTCTAGAGTTTAAGCGTTCGTGTGTGAGACTGATAGGTCCTGGATTCGAATCCCGAAATGCGGGATCGTGGATGCACACTGTTGAAGAGTCCTGTACTAGGACGAAACGGCTGTCCAGTGCTTCCAGGTTATCCATAGTGGTCTAGCTCATGATTTCAACGATTGAAATAATGATATTGTAAGAACATAATGTCAATTCATAAGATGACTTTGTATCCTTTTATTTTTTGGTGTAAATTCATTTGTTTTAATAAAATTCATTTCATATATGATTCGTGAATGTACACTTCTGAGGAGTCTTATATTAAAACGCAACGACCATCCAATGCTTCCAGGTTTTTAATGGTAGTCTAGCTTAGATTAAAATATGAATTTAACCAAATCATCCAGCTCAGAAGACAAAACTTACTTCATCAAAATCATTCACTTGAGCAATAAATATTCTCCATCATCTCTTACATAATAATCACATTGATTAAACATTTTTTTTCTTTAAAATATGATTTCATGCATATAAACTGTAATTGAGATCATTTAAAAGATAAACAAAATCATTGAAAATATTCTTATCACACTAGACAAACTGTAGAAAAGGTTCAATAACATGGAAAAAAATGGATCAATCTTTAATGGGATCATGATAATGTTGTTATATCTAATATTTTGTAAATGTGTATATTTTCTTGTTATTCATTTGAATAACTGCAAATGATCAAACTGTATTGACATTTGACCATTCTAACCGGATTGCTCCAGTTTGCTATTTAACCATTAATAAATATTAACTAGTATTATTAATAATAGATGAAAATATCTTGTCATTTATTTTATTATTTATTTATTTATTATTTTATTTATTTTAATACATAAGTATAGGTACAAAGGGGCACAGATTAAACATGCGCCACACAAGTCACTTGATTTGTGTGTGGACTGTAATGCTACCCGGGTGCTCGGACTGAGGCAGGTGGTTTTTCTTAGGGGGTTACACCCGGAGCCTTCGACCTAAAGGTCTGATCCAAAAGGCGGTGGAGCAACGTAAGGAGATGCAGTTCCATGGTAGCCGGTGACCAACTATTGGTTCATATGCCATTTGTTCCTTAAGGTTCTTAGAGCCCATGTAAACCATCCGTTTGGAATCAGGGTTTTCCAACTAACCTAGGTGGATCCTCTGTGTCCACCAACCCAGTTAAAGTGCTGAGCATTCGCTTTTCGTCCTCTCAATTTCATAAGCAACATTCCCACTGCGAGAAGTCAGTGAGTAGAACTTCCCTGGCAGTGGCGGTATACGCGTGACCATGTGAGAGCATTTCGAGAGGGAGAGCTGACTCTTCCCACCCTAGGCCCTACCAAAAAATTATGGGGGTTACATCAAAATGATTTCAAATTTTCGATAAAGCTCTAGTCAAGAAATAAATGAATGGATTTTGTAGAGTTAAACAAATACACACGTCAACTATTACAAAATAATGAGGTTAAAGACACAATAAGAAATTGATTTAAAACTGTGAACAACAGATTGAATGTATTCTATTTGATTGTTAAGAGTATGATGATGATGATGATGATGATGATGATGATGATGATGATGATGATGATGATGATGATGATGATGATGATGATGATGATGATGATGATGATGATGATGATGATGATGATGATGATGATGATGATGATGATGATGATGATGATGATGATGATGATGATGATGATGATGATGATGATGATGATGATGATGATGATGATGATGATGATGATGATGATGATGATGATGATGATGATGATGATGATGATGATGATGATGATGATGATGATGATGATGATGATGATGATGATGATGATGATGATGATGATGATGATGATGATGATGATGATGATGATGATGATGATGATGATGATGATGATGATGATGATGATGATGATGATGATGATGATGATGATGATGATGATGATGATGATGATTTGGATGATGATGATGATGATACTTTAATGAGATTATAGATTTCTTACTTGTTTACCGACACAATGTTCAAAATAAGAATTTCAAATGATCTGTTAAATGTTACATTATCTTATATGAAAATAATCCATTCCACTTAGACTAGAAATTCACAACTAATCTCCTTTAAACTTATGGTTATTATTGGTTAAACCTCAATTCATAAATAGAATTTATATTTTCTACATTAGAAATCAATATACAGTGAAAACAACTGATCAATTGAATGAATATCATTAACAAACTTGTTTATTTCCACATTTTAATTGACATGGTATAACAATTGATTTGTAAATAAATTTTGTTTGTTTGTTTATTTATTTCTTACATAATGATAAATAACAATATATTGACCTGAATTTTACTAATCGTTTTATAGATGACATTCCATTGTGTTATGTACTACAATTGACATGTATATAAACGTAAGTTGTACTATATGTCTGCATAAATTATGGTAAAAATAGTATGAGAATATATACTTAAGAATTATAGGTTTTAAATCACGAATTGTTCTTAACTGGACTCTTGTTAAAATCCTGTATACAGGATAGATTAATCACTTGAAAATAGAACTCCTCAACAGTGGGAATACACGATCTCACACTCGAGAATCGAAATCAGAACCTTCGGTCTCACAAGCAAACGTTTGATTTGTCGACCACTGAGCCCATATAGAACGCTTTTTTTATGTGGTTTCAATCGATTCACTATAATGCGCAACTATCTTTAATTTTTTTTTGATAATATCTTTTTCATACTCGATATGATTGGAATTTACTAGTCATGGCTGCTAACTAGAACAGTAGTAATTGCATCTGATAGCCTGTTACTAGTGAATACGTGATTGTTATCAGTGTAAGGTTTTGTTCAGATTATAGACCACTAGTGACTTGCTTCTAGATACAATCGCTACTCAACTGTACTTAGATGTTATCACCGTTTGACCTCAGCTCAACCATTTAGAAGTTGTGGATATTCTTTAATTTCTTATTCAGATAATTGTAGTTGTTCCCACTTACTTTCCCGTCCACTACAATGTTAAGAAACTGTGTAAAACCAAACACACTGAATAAAACTAATGGAATACACATTTATATAGATTTAATCTATACAATATAAAATCATTTGATATAATGATCAATCATTGAGCATAATTATGAGCCTTCAAGTTTATTTAGCTACAAAATCAGAATCCAATAATAATTAACACTGTAAATAAATTTTAATTATGTATACTTTGTGTTAAATATTACGTAGTTAAGTATAACATTTAATTCCATTAAATAATAAATATTTTAGTAGTTGAGATCATGAGTCAATTGTAGCTAGACTACCATGGAAAACCTGGAAGCACTGGATGACTGTTTCACCTAATTATGGGTTCAAAACTCGCGAGGCAGGATCGTGAATGCACACTGCTGAAGAGTCCCGAAATGGGACGAAACGGTCATCCAGTGTTTCCAGGTTTTTTATAATGTTCCCACATCAATCGGTTCATGATTTCAACTATTAAAATTACATTACCCCTTCTGATAATAAATATTTTGTTGACCAGTTATTCTATCTTACCAAATCATTTTATTACATGGACTTAAATCAGATTTGTGAGGGTTCATTATTAAGTTAAATTCATTTTATCAAGTTAAGCAATCGATAGCATGTACTAAACTATTTATATAGTTATTTTTTCGTTATAAAATCATTACTGTATCGAGAACACTTAGAGTTGCCTTGAATAACGTAATTTCCTTACTAAAAATGCAAAAAAAAAAACAAAAAAAATAAAAGATAAACTTCTTGTGGTAGAAATCTATGACTTCCCTTTTCAAATAGAAATTCGTTTCATTCACTCAACAAATGAATAGATTGGTTAAAGTTATACATTAAAACTGTTGGATGCCTGCTAAATGGTCTAGAGGCTAAGTGCTCACAAGTAAAACCGAAGGTCCTGGGCTCGAGTCCCTGCGTGAGGGATCCCGCAGACGTATTTCTGAGGAGTCTCATACTAAGATGAGACAGACGTCCAGTACTTTCAGGTTTTCCATAGTGTTCTAGCTTAAATTGATTCATGAATTTCATTATTAAGTAAATATGTAACGGATTAGTTTCAAAGATGATTTCAATCGTGCAAAACTCGAACAATTCAGGCTAAAGTTCCAATAGATAGATAGATAGATAGATAGATAGATAGATAGATAGATAGATAAATAGATGTGTGGATAGAAAGGTACATAGATACATAGATAATCAATAAATTAATCATTTAAACCAAAGACTTACAATTTATTGAACTGTTCTTTAATCGATATATGATCATCAATATACACAATACATTGATTATATATATATTGTAATTAAACAATTAATAATTATGTAATATTATTTCATAATCCTATTTATCCGATAATCAACATCATGTAAGAAGAAGAAAAATTTTGGAAAAAAATTCTTTTCTTTTCTTTTTATTTCTTTTTTTTAATTTGAATATAATAGTAACCAATTATAATCGACTTTGTGTTATAGGCTCATTCATTCATTTATTCATAAGTAATGTATGTGTATTTCTCTTTTTTTTTCTTTTCTTTAAAATACATTTAACAATCCAATAATCAGTTTTAACCAATTAAATGTTCAATGAATATTTCAAGTTGAATATTTGTTTGTATTTTTTTGGGGGGGGGGAGGATAAAAGATAGAAATTGAATGTTCTAGTTATATATTGATATATTGATAGATAATGAATTGAAAAAAATAAACATCAACCGGATACTGTTGTGAGATAATAACTCATTGAAGATAATGGTAGATGTGTCTAATCAATTTTGTGAATGAGTTAAAATTAGACATTAATACCATTGGATAATGTTCAGCTCTGTGGTCTAAAGGTTAAACGTTTGCTCATGAGACTGATAGGTATTGGGTTTGAATCTTGAGAGGCGGAATCGTAGATGTTCACTGCTGAGAAATCTCACAATAAGACGAAATGGCTGTCCAGTGCTTTAAGGTTTTCCATAGTGATCTAGCTATAATTGACTCATCATTTATACTATCGTAATTTCATTTTTTAAATTAGAAATCTTTAATTGAATTTGTTTATATACTAGGATCGATGCAAATATATCAAAATTGAAATCTATTAATAGTTGAATTCATGAATGGATAAATGTTAGACCACTATTAAAGGTCTGGAAGTACTGGATGGCTGTTTCATTCTAGTATAAAACTCTTCAGTAACGTGCATCCACGATCCCGCACACAGGGACTCTAGCCCAGGACCTGTGGTTTTACGCCTTAACGCTTAATATCTATACCACTGAGCTGGTATTCAATGGTATATATATATATATATATATATATATATATATATATATATATATATTTGCTTGCATGTGCTTGACGTAGAGAGGTAGTTTCTGAACTTCTAGTAAAAATGTATAACCAGTAAAGTTCAACCGTTTCTCTAATGAAGCAAAGATCTATAATACTAATAAATGATAGTTTTGAAATATTTCAAACTAATTAAAGTTTGACATATAAACCAATGAATAATGACATAGTTATCTAACTATTAAACATTCATCATAAAATTTGAAGTACATCTATTAGATCTTAAATAAGTTGTTGAATGTGTACAATTGTAAAGTCTCATATTTAAACAAAAGATTTATCCAGTTCATCTTAGTTTTGAATGATTATCTGATTAACATCAGTACTATAGTTTGTCATATTTCTTATTGCGTTTCTTCACTTATCCCAGAAATTTTGAATAATGACTCTAATGCTACAAAGAATTTCAGTTTTATGGTATCGCCAGTAGAAACACTGCAGAATTTCTTGTTTGTTTACCGAACAACACCTAGTGATATGCAACCACAGCAGAAGTCCCCGGCAGAGATCCTGATGTGAAGGAAATTGAGGACGATCCACAGTCTGATGTGCCCAAGAACCACACCATCTCAGACCAGATCTCAGAAGCTGCCAGCGTACGAGGTTGGATGCCCGGTGTTCGCTCGAGATTACAGAGCAAATCATGGTCCTTGGATCGAAGTACATGTGGTTGGAAGATTAGACCATGTTGTGTACGAGGTAAAGGTGAGAAGAGACACGTGGACTAGGCACAGAAACCAACTACGGAAGCGTATAACCTCAGACCGCCCATCAACAGGAGTAAATCTTCCTCTTGACATCCTTCTTGATACCTTCAACTTACCAGCAGCCCCACCATGAGAAGAAGCTCAACAACAAGCTGATCTCCGTTCCAGAAGGTTGTCTCCCTGACAGCGGCGAGCAACGGTCAAGATGCAAGTCGACCTCAAGAAGGTACGCTATTAAAAAGAGGAGGAGTGTTGGGAACGATAGATCCCAAAAAAATCATATTTTGTAATTTTATCTTGTGGAGCTTGTATGCAGATATATGCGTGGGCATTATCGAATAAATGTTTAAAAGCTCCATGGTAATATCGATATATATATATATATACGTTTTAAATTGTGTTTGTTGTGAGTGCTCGTTTTCCGGCTGTTGTAGAATATACTTCCCATGTTAAGCTTGGACTTCTCCCTCTAGATATTGGGGCTGGGACTCATCAATAGCTAGCTTACTGGTCTTTAATCACCGAGTCTTGTTCTCGTTCGCAGATTAAGTGAACTCGTGATAGCTTCAAACCTATCACTTATATTATAGTTTAATCTCTTTCAGAGTATGTGTTCTTCTATGTTTATTAATGATTATTTTGACTGGTTAATCATGTAGTTGTCTATACTTTCTTCCATGGATAGTTTTAACATCTTGATTATGTTAGGTTGCTGTTGTGTTCTTTTTTTTCTGTTTGATTTTTTGTTTATTAACGATCTTCTAAACATAAGAATGAAAAAAAAACTTTTACCCTTAAAACAAAAAAAAATTGATCTCATAAAATGATCAATAATAATTTCATATGCATAGAGAATCAAAAGGAAATACAAATAATCCGGAAGTATTAAATGTACAACTCAAAGATATTTAGAAAGTAAAACAAAAAATACAAAAAATGAAATGAAATTGAAGTAGGTGACTTGTAGGGTAACAAGTTACCATAGTTACTTACATAACATTGATATATCTATAAGTATACATTTATCAAAGGCGCATATGCCTCCGGATATCATTGTTATATTCAACGATATGAATAAAGATCATACAAAGTGAATAGATATACTAAATCAAGATGTTTTTTATTAGGTCAATGACCGCCCTGTTTGTCTTTTTTTTGTGTTGTTGTTGAATATATTCAAGTTTATTAAAAATTACTTCAATCGGTTTATTTCTAGATTGATAAACAGTAAGAAAAAATTGTTAAAATGAGTAGTATGACTAATACAAGTTAAATTTATATTTTAAGTAAGGGAATTTTGTTCAGTTTCATTTATAATTTCGTAGATTGTACTCATTATAGATCTATTACAGTTGCATAATAAATGAAAACGTCTAGTATGCAACTTTTCAGTGTAGGATATTCACGATCTCATAAGAATATTTAGATTGGAATTTAATATATTGATTAAAATGACCAATGATTCACCATAAGACTTGAAAGTTTTGGGTTAGATCAATTGTGACGCCTTGTGTGTGTTCAACTGAGGAATTCTATACTAAGACGATGGTAATATTCAATTCTTCTTGGTTTTTTTTAATAATATCCCAATTGAAATCAATCTATGATCAATGAAACCAAGTACTTTATATGTATAGTAAGGTAGTTTTGAATAAATCACGTTTGAGTGTTTGATACAAGTATTAATCAATGTTGCTTTATGTATTATAGTTTTAATGATTATCAATCATTTGTATCCCATAGATAATAATTTAAATACAAGAAGTATATTGTTTCCATAGGTTACTAAAGTTTTCAACTACCTTACAGAATATAGTCTTATTTCATGAATGAATTCTATTCCATTACTTTTAATTCATTTTAACATCGTGTTGCTTTTGTTATTACGTCTATATTCAAAATAAATCTTAGTTATCTACTAAAGGTCTTAAGTTACTTACTAACATACGCCGGTTACTCCTCGTGGAGGAGCATATGACACCCATCAGCACTCTCCATCCAACTCTGTCCTGAACAATCCTTTTCAGTTCTTTACAGTTGTTATTCATCCTTTTCATATCTGATTCTATTTCCCGACGTAATATGTTCTTCGGCCTTCCTTCAGGATTCCAAGTTAAAGCTTCCTTCGTGATCCAGTTTGATGATTTGTGTAATGTATGTCCTAACCACTTTCAGCTCCGTACAGTAGAACTGCCTTGACGTTCGTATTGAAGATTCTGACTTTGATATAAGTTGAAAGTTGTTTTGAGTTGCATCGATGATGCTTCCGAGGTATGTGAAGGATTCTACATCTTCCAGAGTTTCACCATCAAGAGTGATTGGATTGCTGTTCTCCGTGTTGTATTTGAGGATTTTGGTTTTCCCCTTGTGTATGTTGAGACCTACTGATGCAGAGACTGCTGCTACACTAGTTGTCTTCATCTTCATTTGTCCGTGTGTATGCGATAGGAGGGCTAGGTCATCTGCGAATTCCAAATCGTTTAATTGGTTCTGAGCTGTCTATTGTATGCCGTGTTTTTCTTCAAATGTCGAGGTCTTCATAACCCAGTCGACTACCAGAATAAAAAGAGGAAGTGGGAGAGTAGATAGCCTTATCTGACTCCGGTCCTTACTTGGAATGCATCTAACAGCTGTCCTCTATGCACGAGTTTGCACTGTAGTCCGTCTTATGAGTTCCGGATAATGTTGACAATCTTCTCAGGAACTCTGTAGTGTCGAAGAAGTTTCCATAATGTTCTCTTATCTGCACTGTCAGAAGCCTTTTCATAAGCAATGAAATTGATGTACAGTTCCTTTCAATTGATTGTTCGACGATGATCCGTAGTGTCGCAATTTGATCTGTGCACGACCGATCCTTACGGAATCCAGCCTGCTGATCTCAAAGTTTGGCATTGTCGGGGACGTTAGATCCCCAGAACTCACTTGGAAACCAACCTAATTTTGTAATTTTATTCAGAAAATTTAAATTTTTTGTTTTCGCACCAAAAGCGCTTTTTTCACTTTCACGTCGTATTTCCCACTTGGGAGAATCTTAAATGTTATTGGTCGGTTGTATCTTTTATTATGCTATTTTGTAACTCTCATCATGGAAAGTTTTGTGCTGTATATATACGTTTTGATTTGTGTCTGTTGTTATCGCTCGTGCTTCTGACTTTTGCCGAATATACTTCCCCATTCCAAGCTTGAACTTCTTCCTCTAGTTAGCGGGGCTGGGACGCATCGAATAGCTATCTTATTGGTCTTTGGTTACCGGGTCTTTGTTCCGTTCGCCGATTAAGTGAACTCGTAACCGCTTCAAACCTAGCAGGTGTCTACTGAGTCTTTCATCCGGTTCAGCAACACTCCGTTGAAGACTTTCCCTGATACTGACAGTAGTATGATGTTTCTGTATTTTCCATATTTTCTCAGATCTCCTTTCTTTGGTATCTTGATGAGGTGTCACTCTTTCCAGTCCATCGGCGCTTGTTCTTTCTCCCAAATCTTCTTGAACAGAAGGTGAAGCATGTTCATAGTTACTTTGATGTCTGACTTCAGTGCTTCAGCTGGTATATTGTCAGGTCCTGCTGCTTTCCCGCTCTTGGTTTGTCTGATGGCCATTCTGATTTCTTCCGTCGTTGGTGGATTAACATCTATATAAGGGTCTGTGTGTGTTAATTCTTACAATTGATTGGTCATCAGTAGTGACCAATATTATGTGTGTCAAGTCCTTTTTAGAGAGGATCAAGTTCCAATCTGATTACTAGTCTAAATGACTCGGCATGTTGAGGTGCAAGGTGATGGTTAAAGGTAGTCAGTAGTCGCTAAATGAATACGAATCTAATTATAAAGCTGGGTGACACGGGATAGAATTCGCCCAGAAACATCAGTTCTCTTAAGATTACTCGCACACGTTGTTGATGAGTACTAAATAGTATAAAACCTAAGCTCAGGGTTTCCTATCAATAACCTTCAATCACCGCCTGACGAACTTCAGATAAGCTTAAATGTGTATTCCAGATTTAATTTATTTTAAACTCGCTAGTAATCTGTGTAGAAAATTATAGAAACCTAATATTTTTTTTCCTAATCTCTTCGTTCCAAAATAATAGCTTATTACATTTCTACGAAAACAATATGACATTTCCATCATTCAGTACAGTTTGATAACTGAACATTATACAATGTTAAGAAAGTATCCATTATTTGTCCAAAGATCCACATATACTCTTCAAGTTAAAAATTTAAAGATATCAACTTGTTAATTAATACATCTCGTTGAGATGGTTGAGAAGATTTATAATTCAGGTGGATAAAGTTTGCACTGACCATTTTGTTCAGAAGTACAATGAAAGCTTCACGACCAAACCATACAGCTCAGAGAATAAAACTCTATCTAACATATTTCTTTAAACTTGATATTCTAAATTCAATATCAGCTATATTTTAATTTAGTTATATTTATACAAAAGTGAATAGTTATACTTATTTGATTTTTGTTATCGAATTCGTCTACTTGGTGTATTGAGATGATGACTTCAAACTTGTGTTAGATCTATAAATAATAAATAGTGTTGGAAAATGTAATCACCTCAAGTGCATAAATTTGATGTTGTGTACTCTGAAATGAACAATATAGTTGAAGAGTTTTTATTTCCATTCTGAGTAATATCGTTGGAGGATACTTCATGTAGAAGTTTTCAACATGAAATAGACACTAATGATGTTATCCGGATCAATAATGGAAACTCTGTACTGAAATCACCTAATTCAGGGAACAAAAAAATAACTAAAATAATCAATAAATTTAAGACAAACAAATGAATACTTTTAAGGATCGACGCCTAAAAGAAATCTTGTAGCATCTAGTACTGTGCCTGTTGATTATATCATGTAGGGTTCATCAATTTAGGGACTCGCGATCTGACTCCAGTTCAATTATATGATATGATCATATGATTATGAAGATGATTGAATATATATTCTATCTCCATCACTAAATGTAACGTTCATTCTTTGGTTATGAATAATATGTGCAACCAATCAATTACATAAAATAGAATGGCCGCTATGTGATGCAGTATGTGGCTCGTGAGTTATATTTAGTGATGGAGATGAGATCCAGCTTGCTCACATTAAGATAGAGTTGTATTACATAGCAATCATTCCACTCCAAGTAACTCATGAGCTTCATACTACACTAAATAGTAGCCATTCCACTTAATGTAATTCATCAGCCTCACACACTATTCCTAACCAAAGGCTTAACAATAAAATCTTAGCTATACTGAAGAATACGTATGATATTCATTAGCTGCGAATAAACCACTAAACAATAATACTTACGTTTAGTCAAATTTCAACGTATGAATAAATATAGTTTGTTGATAATATCATATCAAATTGTGAATATTAGCTAATCTATGTTTAAGTTGGATGTGATTTCCATTTTAGTCACGGTAATCATACTTTTAAGAATTCAAATAATCAGCACTGATCAGAAATCTACGATCTACTCTGTATTGATCTCTGCTTCCCAGTTGTTCTCATGTACTATTCACTCTTATAGTGTCTGCTTCCGATTCCCGGTGCAATGTGTCCTTTGGTCTCCTTTTTTTTCCTTTTGCCTTCAGTATTCTTTGTTAGAGGATAATTTTTTACTTTCCATAATATGAATCTTCTACACTTTCAGCATCTTTTCCTAATTTCTTCAAATGAAAGTTAATTTACAGGTAGATTCTTAATAGTAGCCAGATATGATTTGAGAATGATAAAATCACAACCTAATAAATAAGGATTTGCATCAGTAACTAGATTGGTGTACCATCATCTCTTTAATAGAATATTTCTCAAATGTAAAATAGTGTATTACAACCGTAGTAATGACAAGATGTACACTAATTCAAGTTACTTGATATCGTAAGTCAGTATAATATCAATTTTCGTAAACAACACCCCCGCCACGTGAAGGCAGTGAGTACGACTTCCCTGGCAGAGGCTATATACGCGTGGCCATGTGAAAGTATTTCGAGAGGGAGAGCGGACTCTCCCCACTCTCGGCCGTACGAGGGCGTTTGG